ACACTTCTGCTGCAGTCTATGTATGGCAAAAATCACTCAAAGACAGTGGTACTAGTACTGCAGCTTCTCCCTTCAACCGGGGAGGAGTAAAGCTGTCTCAGGGTAAGTCATGGTCTATAGCAGTAAATATTTACTCTTCTTCTTGGCTTCACCCAGCCTGATTGCAGATGTCTTAAGTTGTACATGGGAAGCTTTTTCGCCTTTATATCAGAGCCCCCTGCCAAATCTCTAACTAAGCTCAGATTCCCAGACATGCAATTTAAAAGGGGCAAGTAATAAAGAGTGAAATCCAGTTAAATATTTGGCAAAGTTCATACGGACTTGAAGAGAAACAAGGTTTTCTCAAGATCAGCAATCATTTAATCAGTCCTCAGATTTTCCTAAGTATTCCCTTTCTAATTTTTCAGTCACTCAGAATTTCAGCAAGATCAATCCTGAACTTTGACATAGGGGAAAAAAATAAACAAATGGCAGAGTTATATGTCACTATGGTAAAACATAAGAATAAAAAAGGTATAAGGCTTGATTTTCCTTTTTCTGCTCACTTCTCCAGGAAACCATGGAAATTCTAACATTAAAGCTAAATTAAATTCTCAAGTGTTGTTTAATCACCAAATGATGCAAACACAAGACTGTTTTGATGCAACCATTCTTTTCTTTTCTTGTAATCCTGGCCCTATTCTTTCATTCCTTGCTGTGCTGACATAATTCCTTGAAATGGAAGTACAGGCTATCTAAAAGGCAATTTCTGCTGTAATTAGGGTCTTCACCTCTGTGTCCTGTTGTGGCACAAAAATCTTCATTTCAAATGCTTTGGATCTCTGTGCAATCTTACACCCAATGCTGCCTGTGCCAATGATTGCTAGAGTAGCCCCAGTAACTTGAACTCCTAGAAAATAAGCTTCACAGTGAACTTCAGTAAACTTGAAGTACACAAAAACCATTCCAATATGAAAAATGAATGGGGTCCTACACAGAGGAACAAGAAAAAGTAGTCTATGCTTGAGGTGCTACTACAACACACATGTTTAACATTCACAAACACAGTTTTAAATAGCAATGCTTTTTGTAATCTCCTAGGTTATTCCCTAATATATCATCTTTCCCTGTCAAGTGTGTGATGTTCCCCACTAGTTCTCACCATACAACAAAATGCCTTTTGATGTAATCTCCCCTAAAAATCCCTTTAGTGCTTTAGACTCAGAAGAATATTGACCTGTTCTGCATCAGTACTCAAAACAATTATTGCCAATAACACTGCAGAGGTTGGAAATGTTATGGGGAGAATAACACCAGATGTTGGTCATGCTATTTAGAATAAGAGCAGGTTTCCTGTTCATCTCTGCCACTCTTCTTTGACAGGGAAATGTGACTTCTTTAAAAATCACTTCTCAGTAATTTCCACAGATTATCTGTTAAACCTGCAAAATTGTGTATGGTTACACAAACAGAAAATAAACTTACATGCACAAAGAAACAGTTTATTAGCCTGATACTAAGGTGAAAGGCTTCTGATGTTTCAGTCTTACAACACTGCCAGTTCTTCTAAAACATAAGCAAAATATTATTAAAGTGAAATATATATAATATATATATGAAAGTGATATATATATACATATATACACACATATATACATATATGCCACAGGATAAAAACTCAGTCATGCCAGAGCAGAGAAATGCTGCCAGCAATAGTTTATGGAGATGGAAACAAGTCATTAATCTCCCCTTTAATCTGTCTCCTTCTTCTGAGGTAGAAAAAGATCTGGGGGGAGACACGTATCACTCCTTTGAGTTTCTATGAATCCTGTGGTAGAGGAGGCAGGTAAATTTAACAGGATAAATCTGAAGGATCCATTCCTGAAGCAGAAGACATTCTAACCAAGCCAAGGATATGTCTATCTGGGAAAACAGCAATTAAAAAAAAAAAATGAATAAATAAATAAATGAAACTGGAAAGGATGCTACTAGCAGAAACTGGAGCAGCATGACTTGTCAGTCCCTGATGCCCCTTAAATTACTCAATTCCAGCCTCTAAGATCAAGCCCTGTCCACAAATGACAAAGTCATATTTGAGTACACCATGATAAGATTCTGCTCAATTATTTTCAACCCAGGCTGGTGATCTGTGAAAAATGAACCTCTTTGATTTTATTTATACCTGGTTGAAATATGTGTTTGTGTATAAAGTAACAATTTTGATATATTTATGATATATAAAATATAGGAAAGTGCTGGAGTTGCCATCCTTGGAGGTATTTAGCGCATGTGACACTTAGGCACGTGGTTTAGTGGTGGACTTGGTAGTGTGAGGTGATGGTTGGACTTGATCTCGTGTGTGTTTTCCAACCTAAATGATTCTGTGATATTAAAATACAAATTATTCTATTTGCTAACCCAACATACTTATTTTTTATGTTTTATTGCACTATGAATATCTCCAGATAAACAACTCCATTAAAGTCAAATTAATGGTATGTAAATCTTGTATGATTTCTAGAAGCTACAAAAGAACTGAAATGTTACCTTCTAGCAGTTACGTCTTCTAGCAGATGTCATCAACAAAGCCATCCCTGTATCTGCTGTGCTGCTAGAAACAGCACATGGAGCATTAGCCATTTTCACTTCAAAACAACCTACAAGTTTCAGATCCAGGTGATCCATCCTACTTTCAAATTTGCAATCACTTTCAAGTTTGGCAGGCTTTGGTGGAAGTCTTGGTCAATGACTGGTTTGTGCCACCACAATTAGATTGCGTGGACCTTTTTACTCAAACGCTTTCTGTCTTCAATAAATTTCTTCACAGTAATGAGGTAGAATTGTTTTTTTTTTTTCAGAAACTCCATGTGGCCATGCAAGTATCCCAGGTATTCCACCAATTTCATTTACCAAAAGTCCAGATAGCACTCCGCCTTCCATAATCTGCACAAAGAAGAAAGACATAGTATCAGGAGAATTGCACATAATTATTTCCAGACATTTTAAAGAATCATCATTTTCTTGTCCTGTTTCATGACAACTGTGACAAGAGATCTTATAAACCACTTATTTGAATAGAGAGGTAAATGAGCCAAGAAAAGAAATCACCCCTTTTAGTATACCATCAATTATATGCAACTGAGACAGGGAACAAGATAAAGGATGTTGATTCTGTAGGTCTTAGCTAGCACAATTGTATGTTGTATAATTGTATGTAAAAGACTGTATGCATAGATAATAGAACCAGCAAGAACTGGCTTGACTGCTGAAGTCTGTCAAAGAAAGGAAAGGTCAGGAGTTTAGCAGCAAGGAAGACTTCTGGCCTTCATCAGAAGACTGACAGAGTACGCTGGAGGACCACCCAAGGACTCCAGTATGCATGCGAATAGGAGCGGGAACCTATGTTAATGAATCTTCGGAGATGAATATGCAAGAGACTTACAGGAAATGAGTTGAATATGTATTTGTCCCACTGGCACACTGCCAGTAACCCCTAGTGTGTGTGTGTGTTAGGCAGAGCGATTCCTCCCACACCCAGCACCCTAATGAAGAATACCTGCTTCATAAGTAGTTATTGAGTTTTCACTGTGTCACAACAAACAAGCAAAATGAACAAAACAAAATAAAAAACAACACCCCAGTATTCACATAGTGAAGTCTGAACAAGTTCTGTCCCTTAGGGGCTGTAAAGTTTTATATCGCTATCACCAGGGTCAAAACATGCAATTATTTCTGATTAATTACTGAGTTTCAGACCATAAGTATTCTGGTGTACAAATCTCCTTTCCTACCCTGAGATCATAAATTACTCTGTCTAAATATCTTACATTGAACCAAATCTTAAAATTCCTGAAAATAAATTCATTTCCTGAAAATAAATTGCATAGATTTGTCATGAACTTTGTGCTACAGGTTAATTTTTAAATGTTTTATTGCAGAGACTTTTGCAGCCTCCTGTCCTGAAGAGACACCAGTGACTTCTTAACTGCAGCGCTTTCTCTTGAGGCGATCAGAAATTAACAATATAATAGTTGCTTAAGCAAGCATTTTCAAACAAGGATTTAAGCACTTGAATTATTTTTTTTTTCCCCTTCAGGAATCAGAGACCACCTGTTTAAGGGTTCAAGGCAGTCTGGGAATAGACGGCTGTTTAAAAAAAAATAGACCTTTTACAGTCACCATTGATTTTCCATAGCAATTCAGTAAAGAGCTGGCGGTGGGGAGAGGGCAGGGCAGTGTTCAAGGTCTGAAAACCTTGGAATCCCCTATAGCAATGCTGACTGCTGCCTTGTTAGCAGTATTTCACTATTTGCATGTGAATGTCTTGCTCTTAGCTTGTCTAAAGTTACTGTGCTAAATCTTCATTTTACCATCACATCAAGAAGCCTGACTGTATTCCAGAATAACGAAGAGTCTTCATGGTTGTATGGAGGTTACAAATATTTTACTGCATTTTCTAATTGTATTGCTTGCTGATAGGAAGGCAAATGCAAGAAAAAAAAGCCTTTGGCTGGAAGTTAGCCCTGATCACAAATTTTGCTTTAGGCTGTGCCCTCATCCAGTTGATTTCACTGCTAGAACTACCACTGTTTCATGCTCAACAAAGCAAAAAAACAAACACATAATTGCTGTCTGCAGAGAGGAACTAAATTTACTGTGAGGATCCTGTCAGGTAAATCAAAGATATTTTTTCAATGTTTGTCTTCACTTTGATTTGACATGTAGGTGAGGCAGAGTTCTTCTTATAGTAGAAAACCTTAGGACTAAAATAATTTCAAAGGAGTTTGCTTTGTTGAGAGTTTTGACATCCAAATAGAATACTGAAATATTGGCTAAAAAGATTTTTGGGATATGGTAACTTTTCTGTAGGGCATTAATGCTCAATTCACCTTAAATATATTTGAGAGTTTCATGCTAACTGCTCAATGCACTTGCTTATCATTATTGTACTTGCAAGTACTAGGAACAGCACATGGATATTAATTGAAATAATTAAGATATTGAAACACATAACTGCTCAGTTTAAAACCTTCAAACAAAATTATCAATTTTTTATTTTTCAGAATTGCAAATGACAATACGGGGTAAGTCGAGTGAGATGACAGCTTTGCAGTATCATGACAACATCATCAGTGCAGAAACAGTTACTTTTTTAAAAAAAATTAAAAGTGGTACTGTAGGAAATAGTGCCTTCTTATAGGTAAGAGATTTAGCAGTGTCATCTGGCCCACATCATTTGGGAAACACTTCACTCGGAATGGGTTGACCATTGAGAACAGCCAGCATATTTGCTATTGCTTCTTCTGCCATCATCTGGACGGCTTGGACTGTTGCAGTTCCAATGTGAGGGGTTATAATGATATTATTTAATTTTAACAAAGGATGATCTCTGCAAGAAACAGAACAAACAGAATGCATTACACATGGAATTTACTCTGTTGCTGTTACATGCCAGTTGTTAAGGACCAAACCTCAGGAAACAGCAATGGCATGTGAAGGTAAAGGTGCCACACACACAGGACGGGCAGAAAACAGTGGGAAGCTCGCTTCCCATTTGTTCTTCCTCTGTATTGGTGTTGTTGTCTAGCTTGTCAGTCAGGTTGGCAAAGAACTTCTAGATTTAGGGAGGGGGCACAGTTTGTCATTTACTTGTGATTGTGCAAGATAAACTGAGGTTCTGCTCTTAAACAGTGAGAGACTCCCCATAGAGATCAAGATTATGAGCACACCTTTGCTCACAATTTAAAACATTTCAGATTAACAGAATGGAAAACCGGTTTCTCTACCTTGGCAGAGGCTCAGGGTATGTCACGTCCAGAGCAGCAGCCCTAATGATGTTATTCTGGAGAGCTTCTACCAATGCATCTTGATCAATAAGTGCACCTGTATTGAAATAATATCTTTCTATCATGACAAGTTAATGAACGCATTTTTACCTGGCAGCGGGAAAAGGTCTCAAGACTCTAGTGAGAAAAATTAAAGGATCTTTGATTTGTTAGAAACTAGAATGTCTGTCTAATAACCATTAACCAAAGGAAACGTAATGAGATTTTATTTATTAACCTTTAATTTGAGGTGTAATTTTTGGTCTAATGCATACATTTTTTCCTGGGATGTCAGAGATCTTAGTATTTTCCTCATTTTGATACCTACTTCCTGTTTTATTCTATAGTATTGCTTCCTGTGTTATTATATGTAGAAAATAACTTAATTCCTTTGAGCTTTTCACTCTTTTATCTCTGTTTTGTTTACTAATTTATAGTCTCTCCAGGTCTGCTCTTATATATACTTGTTCAGTACCAGCAGATCTGTAATCCCATGTCAGGTTTCTTTTCCACATAGCTGCTCCAGTTGAAGCTTGTTTTCCTTTGTACCCCATTCACCATTCAACCTTTCATGAAGAATAATGTTATTTCTGCTACGAAAAAAGATGTCTTCAAGTTAAGGCTACAGAGATGCAGAACATCTGCTGTACATTTCCATATTCCGTAGGACCTTTGAACACATGGTATCTGAATTACGGCAAGTCACTAATTTGTAGATTTTCAGCTCTTTTGTGACTCAAACAACACAGGGATATCACAGACTGATGCTGGAGTGTGGAATGCCAACGCAATCAGGTAAAACACAACCTTAACCATGGAACCATAACCAGTTCTGGTAGATATTCCTACCTCGGCCAATGTTTATAAGAGTGGCTGTGGGTTTCATCAGCCCCAGCTCCTTTTTCCCAATCATTTTGTGAGTCTCAGGAGTCAGGTTCACAACCAGCATAACAAAGTCAGATTGCTGCAGCAAGTCTTCCATCTTCTCACAGTAGTGGGCACCAACTGCCTGTTCCTCCTCCTTTCTTCTAAAGAAAAAATACATACACAATTTGACACAAATATTTTGAATTGGCTTTAACAATCAATCAGTCGTAACAGAGAACTTGAGCAGCCTAAATATTAAGAGGTCTGAGGCTAGGATAAAGGAAAAGACATTGATAAGAACAGATGGCAGAAGGGAGGGAAGGATGTGGCATAGAAAGACCAACAGGACTGAGGAGTGGTAGGACGCTGGTGGAGTTACATAAATGTGAAATCAAAGCACATAGGTGATATTAGGTATAGGGGGCTGGATATGCAGAAGGCCCCTGTTTCTTTCTCTCCTGCTTCTGTGCCTATACAGTTGCTGTAGACTCTCTCCTTGCTTGACATGTCAGCTAGGTCTTGTGGAAAAGGAATGAAGGGGAAGAAAAGGAATGAAACTATAAAATGATGTGAAGTTAAGATCCTTGGCATTAGTGTGGTGACTGAACTGTCTGCGCTGAGGAAAGGGGTGACAGCTTGGGGGACAGCCTGGGCTAGGCCAGGGATGTTGCCAGAAGCCTGAGAGAAAATTTTGGCAGGACAGGGTCTGGTTTGCCCTGAGCTACATCTTAAAAAGGTTAGCACAACCCTTTCTCCAAAAGTACAAATAGCTAACTAGAGAGGAGTGAGCACAAAGGTGAGGAGGAGGTGCTTCCCAGCAGGAGCAGCAGGGAACCAAAGTGAGGATGTGGAGGCACGGTGATAATTCCTCATGTGGCTTACAACTGTCACAAATGACTAGGAAGAGCAGGGACACAGACCAGAGCTTCTATCACTGCCCCCAGACTAATTTAACTACACACAGGAAATAAACATTTTTACCTCTGCTTCCTGTTGTGGTACAGGATCTTCATGTCAAAGGCTCTGGCTCTCTGAGCCACTTTATACCCAATTCTGCCCATCCCGATGATCCCAAGAGTCGCCCTGGAAACTTCAACTCCCAGCCAGTCAACAGCAAAATACTTTGTGTGTGGAGAAATTGCTATCTGGGAGCCTGAATGTAAAAACACGCCGAATGGGTACAAATCAATCATAAATTCAGGTTGGGAATCAGAAGAAAAGAAAAAATATCTCACTGTCACAGCACGGTTCAGAAGCACTGTTTAAAAAATGTCCTAACTAATTTAAAGGTGAATTTTGACCAGTTTATGGACAGGCCTGGATGGTGCCATTCCCTGCAACAGCCAAGACCGGATCCAGTGACACAGAAGAGCTTCCAGAAGGTGGCATCCTCCTGGGAGGAACTGCTTCCTCAGGAAATTAACCTTTAGTGGCTGGAATATTTTTTCTGAAGATCAAAACTAGCTTCTGGGTCATTTACCACCCCACAAGCATTGACTTCACATTTTTTTAGTAGGGACAAATCTCACCATCTATCTGCTGGACCATAAACCAAAACAGCCGTACTGCTTGAGTGGGGTTGAAAGTACAGCGCAGATTCCAGCTCTGCCAGGGATCTCTGTGAGGTTTTATACATCAGACTCGAGGTTCAGCAAGATGCAACAGTGGTAAACATCAAGGGAAAAGAGGAGACACTTCATACTCAGGTATGCAGCAGTGATAACAGAAATTCTGAGTCTCAAGACAGAGGCAATCTCATCTCTGTTGTCTCTCTTGTCTCTACTGACACCTTCCTCCCCCAAAGGGCATTACACAGCAAGGGCATGGGGAGAAAGGATCTACATTTAGGCACGTAACTTAAGGTTGGTGGTGCAGTTTGGAAACATTATCAAAAGGATTATCATCTGTTCCACTAATAATGCTGGTGCTACTCTCAAAATAAAGCCCATAGGTTTAGACAAACTCTTCACAGAAGAGGGAAAAAATGAAGAGCTGTACTTATTCCTGCTCTAGAGATGTAATTGAAACAATGGTCTTACTCTTGTCACTATTGCCTTAAAAAGAAGTGGGACATGAGAAAAGAAGAGGCCTCTGAAAACAGAGTCCTCAGAAAGTTTTTTTCTTGTAAAGGCATCCCCAATATCGATTCTGACAGATCATCTGTAACATAGGAATGTGAGATATGCCAAAGAAATACATAAGATCCAGGAAGATTTAAAATATTACCTTCAACTAGTCTTCTGGCAGAGGCCAGCATCAAGGCCATTCCTATGTCTGCTGTAGAGTCAGCAACGGCATGTGGGGTATTGGTGACTTTCACACCAAAGTTAGAAATCATTTTCAAGTTTAAATGATCCACTCCAACCCCAGAGTTTCCAATTACCTTTAAATTAGGCAAACTTTCTAGAAGTTCCTGGTCAACAGTTGGCCTGCACTCAGACACAAAAACGGATTGGATTTTTTTGCTCATTTCTTTTTTGTTTGCAAGAAACTCCTTCATGGTGATAAGGCAAAAGTGTTTTTTCAAAAGTGCTACAATATTTTCTTGCACACCATAAGTTCCTCCAATATCCAGAATCAAAAGACCCGGCAACTCCTGTTCTGACATGGCCTACAATAGAGGAATAGGAGAAATACACTGCTGTTTAGTAGAACATTCTTAAAACAGTGACGGTATATCAATCGTTTCAATTCACATCTGTAAAATAGGAAGGTAATGGAACCTAATACTCCTTTTAATAATACAGAATAAATCCACTATCACGTGATACTAGCATGTTCTTACATTAGAAATGTTCCAGTATCTTCATTAAGTGCTGGATTAGGCTGTAACACCAAGGAATATCCACCCCATTGGATCTAAGTCCAGTTTAATTTCTACAAGGTGCTCTTAAATAGTTTCATTTTAGTCCTGAATTCATACTGATTTCATACAAATCTGGTAGCTTCTCAGTCTTATTCACAAGTTCATTATATGAACAGTGGTATGAAACTTCTGCTAGAAAATTGCTGAAAGTTTCCTGTCTATTGATTACAGCTCGTGAAGCTTGTAGGTAGTGTAGGGAGGCACTGGGGCTCAGACAGGTCTGACAAACATCTGTCTTCAATGGCTTCAGGTCTAAAAAATCTGCACAATGAAGGATCATCATTGGACAACTGCTACACTGCTTGCCTTCAGTGTTTTAAATATCTTCACCTAAACTTACCTCCTGCAAAATTTAGCAGTAAAAGTCAATCTTTTGCACACCCGTGCCTACATGCTGAACCACTGGGGAAGAGCACTAAAGGTGACAGTGTAAGTCCCACTGATAACAGTACCTTGATACTAGAATTTTTCACTTTCCCAGAAATTTTTGAGACCAGTCTTGCCTGCAACAGACCATGCAAATATATTGTATCCTGCAACCATACAGCAAAAAAATATTGAGTTCTTAAATATATCTCATCTATTTCTTGCCAACTGAAGTCTTTTGAAATCAGCCAGCCCAACATGGTTGTGAAAATTGTCCAAATTTCCCCAGCTGTAGTCTGCATATTTATTAGAGTATTACACAATATGGCCTTAGAAGAAGAAATTAGATTCATTCTCCAGAAATGACCCATAAAATAAAAGACAAGATTTAATGTCATATTGTGACAGCGTTATCCAGCTTTGTGATGCTACTGAAGAAGCTTAATCAGACTGGGTGGCAACTAAATCTTCTGCAGTTACATCATGGAAAACTCTTTAGGTACTGGACATGATCACTTGGCTGGCAGATGCCACTAGAGCAGGATTGTATTATGCCATTTGCTTTCATCATCATTTCCTCCTCTGGTATAATACACCACTCAAGATGGTCATAGTCAAACCCATGTTTATTTTAGAAGCACCTTCTAAACTTTGGAAAAGTTTAGACTCATGGGGAAGCCACAGTACAACACATCAAGAGCTGATTTAGCTTTAAACAAACCATCTTGTTCACACAAAACAGGCTAAGTCACATATAATTACTCTGCTCATTACTGTGGATATGCTGAGTAAGCCACAGTTCCAGCCACGTTTGATGTGGACGGGAACAGACTGCAGCCTTGGTTCAAGTACAATATTAAAAAATTATATTGATAGCAGTACTGTAAATACATTTAAGGAAATCTTGCAGAGGGAAAGGGGCTCTCCAGATACTAACCTTGGTCTGAGGAGCACTTAGTGTTCTTCCTCCAGCACTACCTGCACCTGTCTTGTACCTCTGTCTGTATGCCACACTTCTGTGAGGGCGGTGTCCATGTGAAGCAGTAACTGGATGAATACCTTTATAAGCCAAATTTGGCTGGCCAGCCATCAAGTGAATTGATTTTAACAGATTGAATGCTTTGCTCCTGAGCATAATTATTCAGATATAGGATGTCTTGTCCAGTGTGCTAAGTGTAACACCTGTTAAGCATATGACAATTTTGGTTTTGGACTAGTATCATCTGCAGTAGTGCTGATTTATTTATTTATTTATTTATTTTAAGCTGCCTCTCCACTCATTTTCTATTCACATAAAATTATCTGCTTTCATGTATCTGTACATCCATAACCAGATATAACATATTGTTAAAATGTATGTGCACTGATATCAAGTTCAGGTCCTTGCACTGCAGAAAAAAAACTTTGAATATGTGACTGATTGAGACAAATAGGCAAGTAAACAGGACTACTTGTAGTTATTAGCTTCAGTGTCACTGTTTTCTTACGCTAGCCTTATTTCTATTTTGGAGCTTGACTTGCTACTTACTTTCAGATTCATTGACTGGCACTGCTGTATGACTTTGGATTTAGCCGAATCGTAGCAAAACAAACCTCCACATTTTTTCCTCTCTCTGCTTTCAATTGAAATTAACAGTGTATTTTACCCAGAATAAATTCCTCCCACTTACTTAACTACAGAAGAAAACTAATTACCTTGATAACCACCAAAGAATTAATCTGGACCGGTTCCTTTCTGACGATGTTTTCTTTACAGCTAAATCTCGCGGCTCCCGGAGGAAACAAACCCGAGCAATTTCCTGGTACTTGCAACACGCAGCCTCTAGCCCCCTCTGCCACCTCCGTGCCAGGGCCAATAGCTGCTTGCAGTTCCATTCCGCCAGCAGGGGCACGTCCTCCCACAAAAATTTCAGCCCCTGGCTGCTACATGAGCTTGCTTAACTCTTGCTCTGCCTGGTTTTGTCTGGGGGATATATGTATCTGGTAAAGTCTCTGAACGCTTCCAGAGAAAACCACGACATCCGGCAGAAAACTGACACAGCCTGGCCCCCGGGTGGGAGATCACCACTTGCTTCTGTGAGGCCATATGAAACAAGAGTGCCCTTATCTGAAATGAACCTAACTTCTCCTCTCAGTTTTGAAACTTAATTTTCTAGAAAGGACATCCCATCTGATACTGTAGAACAAGCACTTTTTGGTACTTCTTTTTTTTTTTTTTTTTGAGAGTAGAAAGAGAGAGTTTTCCAACTTCTGTGTAAAATAATTTGGTACAAATTCCACCTACCCTTCTAGGACTATTCTCCAAAGCACGAGTTCAGGTTTGTGTAGATTGTGTTGAAAATATGCATTTAATTTCTCCTTGCCTGCTGCAAGCTAACCTTTTGAAAGAGTTCACATGTACATGTATATATGACTTTCAGGAAGCAAAAAGATAGGCCTGAGATGCCTTCTCTCAAATATCAACTCAGTTCTTTCGAAACCTAATGCTGGCAATGCAATTGTCCTGGTTTCACTACTGATAACTTCAACCTAAATATTTACCCAGTATGTTCAGGTACCAACCTTTTGGTCATGGGAGGCTGTGGTGGTTTTACTCAGATGGGCAGCCAAGCTCCACCACAACCGCTCTCTCATTCCCCTCTCCTCAAAGGGAAAGGGGGAGAAAATACGATGAAAAGGGCTCAAGGGTTGAGATAAGGACAGGGAGATCGCTCAACAATTATTGTAACGCGCAAAACAGACTCAGCATAGGGAGATTAATATAATTTATTACTGTTATAAATGAAGTCTCAACTCAATCTGAATTTAGTAATATTTATAAAAGGAATATTTATAAAAGGCAAGTAAACAGTGTTGGGTGTGCGGGGAGTCTATGCTCCACCAACACGCACACACAAACATCAAACATTCTAAATATACAGAACATTGCTGTTAAATACTAAACCCGAGTATGCCTATACATATGTACAATCAGAAAAGGTAACAAACAATCCTTTAAGTTCCATGACTTAACAGTCTCCATTTTCCATTCCTTTTCTTGATTACATACAAGTCTCCATTTTCCATTCCTTTTGAACAATATGTCTCGCTTTAAGTTGTCAAGCAACTCGGTCTTCGGGCCTTATGTATCCCATTCTTCCCAAATCGAAGAAAAGCACATCCATCTCCTTTTCAGGGCCAATAGGCCTGGGTCAAAAGGCACGTTCAGGTCAGCAGGGGGCAGAACAGCAAAGGCCTGCGATGGCTGTAGCAGCAGAGGGGCCGATGGCGTAGCAGTCGGATCAGTAAAGGAGCCTGCAGCTCCCTCACTATCTGGCAAACCACACGTTTCTGACTGTGGTCCCACAGGGCTCCTTAAGGTCTCAGAGACTGCTCGCCAGGTGCCGAGCAATCCCACTGCAACCTTGTCGTTTTTAGTTGCAGAGTCCCATACCTTGACCTCAGTTTGGTCCCATATTTCAGGATCATAAACTGTCCGATTGTTAATAAGGAGAATAAGCTGTAAGGCTACCAGGACAGTCTTTGTTCCTAAGGACGTTTGATTCCCCATAATGCGCAACTGCTTAACAGCAAGGGGCAGTTGTGTGCTGGGTCCGCTTCTCTCAGCTTGAGCTTCCCAGCTCCGGTGTGCCTGTTTCCAGCGACTTTCTGTATGAGCTTCTCTGAGCAGTTTGCTGAGTTTGGCCAAACCCATCTTCATGAGGCGATCAATGTGCCCATTCCTGTCCTGGTCTCCGTTCTGGTCACCTGTTCCTTTTCATTCCTTCTTTCTGCTTCTTTATCGATGACATAACTTCATTATATCGTGTTGCCTTTTTTATCTTGAGGGCAGGCTCCCCTCTTATTCCCTTCTCCCCACAGCAGTCCTTTTCAAAAACAACTTTTCATTGGTCAAACAACTTTGCCTATAACAACAACGGCAAACACCCAGAAACTTCCACGCCTCAGCGGCTGGAGAACAAGCAACCCAGTGGGAGGCTGTACTGATACGTACAGTACATGGCACTTCACGGTGAGGGTGGTGGAGCACTGGAGCTGCCCAGGGAGGTTGTGGAGTCTCCTTCTCTGGAGATATTCGAGGTCCTATCTGGATGCCCTACCTGGCCCTTGAAAGATGGGGCAGCTTCTGGATTCTTCTTGCAGAGGGCAACCCCTGCAGACCCCCACTACCAGAACCTTGCCACGTAAACTCAATACAAAGGAGGCAGGGCATAAGGTACTTAGATATGAGTACTAGCAGGAGCAGGGCGCTGCAGCTTCCAAGGACAGGGATCAGCTTGTGGTATAAAATATATGGGAAAGAAACACAGAAGATGTATATGCTGTTGTGATCCACAAGGTTAAGATATATCTGTATTTTCACCCAGCATTCAAGCCACAATTATCACTAGCTCAATCATTAATTTGTTTATTTGTCACAGGTTTATTTGTTTATATGGTCACAGGTGAATGTACTGAGCAAACAATCCATAACCAGAAAACGCATGCTGCTCTCCGTGTTGCAGTACCTCCTTGACCAAATCCAATGGAGGCACAGGAAGTTTTTAAGATCCATAAAGTGGAAATCAGAAGCAGAAATTAGGAGAAGGCTGAGGTGACCTCCATGTTACTGGGCTGCGCCAGGCACCTCAGCACAGCTCCACACCCCTCGTGAGAGGGGGGAACGGCTGTGGATGTGTCTGTGTGTCAGCACAGCCTGCCCAAGCGCCTGGAGCGAGCACCTCCACGCAGCAGGGACACCCCCACAGCAGCCATCCCCCACCTCGGCCCGGAAGCACACGTTTATCAGCAGGGCGCCGGGCAGCGCTGGCTTTTCTCGTCATTTCCCCTGCCTGCAGGCAGCGCTTGTGCCGCCCGGTCCCGCCGAGAGAAGGACGCCCACGGGGTGAGGGAGCCGGGGGAGGGTTGGGGGTGGGGGGGGGCTCTGCGGGTGCTGTGGAGGCGGCGGGCGGAACCCGCTGCCGGGGGCCGCAGCCGGAGGGCTGTGGGGGGGCTGCCCTTGGTCGGGGAGCCCCTCTCAGCTCTCGGGTGGTCGCTGTCGTCCCTCAGGCCGGTCGCCTTCCCGTCAAGATGTCGTACATGCTACCGCACCTACACAACGGCTGGCAGGTGGACCAAGCCATCCTGTCAGAAGAGGACCGTGTGGTGGTCATCCGCTTCGGGCACGACTGGGACCCCACGTGCATGAAGATGGACGAGGTGCTGTACAGCATCGCCGAGAAGGTAAACCCGCAGCTGCACCGCGGGGGGGTTTAAGTGGTGTGTGCTGAATCTGAGGTGGATTGCAATTTGGTTTGTAATTTGGTTTCCGGAGAGGTATTCCTGCAGTAGGAGGTAGCAATGGAGCTGTTGGGCTTGGTAGTAGAACCGTCATGACTGTAGGTAACACAGCGCTATCGCTTCACAGAGTACATCGTAACTTTAGGTTTCCATTAAAAGTTACATTCATATTGACGCTTAAAAATGGTAAAATCCTGGTGAATTAACGACTAGTGTTAATTAATATATCGGTGATACTCTTTGTGGAAATAAATGGCGCTCTCTTGAGATGCATGGGCTGAAATCAACTTTAGGAGCAAGATGCTGAAGCTGTTTTCAGACAGAAACTGAATGCCTGCTGACAGCTGGCTTCTCGCTCAAGCAAAAGATATTGAAGAAAAATTAGACTGTGTTTACATACTTTAAAAGGCAAATCAGACCTGATCAGGTATTTAGTAAAGGTTTTGCACGGTGATACATGTAGAAAACAGCTCTTCTCTAACTGAATCACACAGAAAGCAAGCAAGAAATCTGAATTGGAAGTGGTTACAATTAAACTTGGGATTCAGCTGTTTTCATGTCAAATTATGTGTAGTCCATAACTTACACATAGATCTTCTAGTGGTATTCTTCTTTCTATTCTAATGGTGTTGTTAAATAGATGTACTTCTGTCTCTAAAATCCCTATGTTAAGTATCTATGTCTGTAGTGAAATGTTAAGACGTGATAGAATACCGTAAGGAGTTGTGACATCATTTAACTTCGACTTTTTTTTGTGTTTAATGTGGTGGGAGTGTCTGAGAGCACTTTTAGTATTTACTTTTGGCAGGATGCTTGGCAATCTAGCAGACGTTTTGGCAGTTAGGGGTGATGGGGGGATGAAAGAACAATGTAACTTGTTATTTAAAAATCTCCCTCTGCAGAATTGGCAGATTAAAGGGGGAGATCCTTCCTCATCCTCTTGCTTACAAGCCATATTCGGATCTCTGCTGGTTTAAAGAGTGAGTAAATGTTCAATTGTACAGGTGTTTATACAGAGAATAATGCAGAATGTTAAGATGCTGTAATTACATGCTACATTTGAAGAAAACACAGCCATATTTTCCTCTTTTTTTTGCTTTTGTTTTACATTTGGGGTAGCAGTAATATTATCTATACTTTAAAATATGAAATCAGGTGGGCTGATTTGCTGGTTTTTATTTTTATTTTTGAATCCTTTTGGGGAAAAGAAATCAGAACACCATATGAAAATTCAAAGCAGATTATTTTCCCTGAAATGTATTCCACTTATAGTTAAACTGTATTTTTTTTCAGTGTTAAACATGAAAAAAGGCAAGGTTTCAAAGAGTTTCAAAACAAAACATTTTAAGATGTTGGATGTTTTGGTTGAAACCTAGACAAAACAAAAATCTAAGAACTTGAGTTTCACCAAATTCCTGTGGAACACATTTTTTTTTTTTTTTTTTTTTTTTTTTTTTTTTTTAAGAGAAGGCTCAAAATGGCAAAAGCCCATTCCTTGCAATAATTTGTTTTGGCTGTTAAATTTCTTTATTACCTTTTCTTTAAACTAATATACAAATCCTGCCCTGGTTTGAAACCAGCTCACTTCAATGAATACATTGTATTGGGTGAGTGTTGCATTAGGGAAGATTGTTCAAATGTCTTGCACTTACTTAACCACAATCAGAAGCGTGAACAGCTGTGGCTTTTGCTCAAACATTAGTTGTACTTCTGCCTTTCTGTTAAAGTTAGAGGAAAATGGGGAGTGGGAGGAGAAGAAAAGAAAAGGAGGAAAAAATAAACCACAAAACATTGGCATTATAGTTACTGGTGTTTATCGTTGAGCAAAGCTGATCCATTTACTTTAGCCTATGTTTTTCAAAATTGTTAGCTCTATGCATTGCATTTAGCAGTATAATGTCTTTCTCTTCTACCATATAAAATTAATACCTAAACTTACAGCATAGTTGGAATGAGAAAATTGTCTAATGACAATGCAGACCTTCAAGTTTCTACTTAACAGTGTTTGCAGCCTCTTTCAGTTCAGTAGTGCAAGTCTGCTACGCTTCTTCAACTTGAATCAATTGTTTCGAAAGCTATTCTCATTTCCTCTTCCCCCTCCCCTCTGTGATTTCTTTGTCCATGGGACATCTAAACATGAAAATAAAAGTCTAGAAACTTTTTAGGAAGATACTAGTTCTTGACTCAGATTTCTTCAGGTATTTCCTGTATGCATTTTGGGCCACAAGCGAAGAGAAATTTCTTCTTATTTCTTCAAGAGAGTTGAAATTATAACAAAAAATGCCTTTACCTCCGCCAGAAATGCAAAGAAAACTAATGCGATCCTTGCAATTCTTCCTAGTCATTGGTCGTTCTGTGGCACTCTGATGTTGTAGGCATGCATTAAATTTATTTGAATGATATTGTTAATGAAATTTTGCAGGAGAAATGATATTTATTTTATCTGGCATATGATTTTTCCCGTGTTTGCATTTTTTTTATTTACCAGCTAAGTGTGAGACAGGATCTACAGAATCTGTATATTAAGTTCAGCTATATCTGATGTTAAGTGTCCTATATATTCCTCTGCTTTATAGTCTTGAGGCAATCAATTTAAAGATTAAATAGTAGTCCACTGAAACAGATACAGTTCTGCAAAGTATTAAAATACTGGCCTGTAACTATGGTGAGGGAGTAATATACTTTTGTTTCTGCGTATATTTGTTGAATAACGTAGATTAATATGTGAAACTACTGTAATTAAGGGGAAAAAATCAAACCCAAAACGAAAGCTCCATCTATGAAAACAAGTTTTGATGAAATTTTGTACCTGTGTTGTTGTCTGGCTTTTTATCCCCTGTTCTCTCCTGTCCCCACAGAGAGCAGCTACAATGGTACAGCGGTCTTGTCAAAGTTTTGAATTGAAAGACAGATAAAGGATGTCATAAATACACCTACACATTCTCTCTCTTGTTTTTCTGTTGAAAATGGGTTTTTATCTTCAGGTGTTGAGAAAGCAGTACTGTCTGAAAGAAGATCCCGTATAGTTTATTTATTTTTTTTTTTTCCAGAAAGAAGCAAACTTACTATATTGCAGTGTGTGTTACAAGGTTAAGTACTTTCACAGTAAACTTGGGTTGTTACATGTTCAGCTTCTAAAATGCTACAGGATTTTTGCACACTGCACAGCAATTTTTTTGTTTAAATTTGGTACCTTAGTGTAGAGTCTGAATTGTTACAACTTTAGCCGCTTTTACAGTGCGGTTTGCTTCCTCAGAGCTGTGTTTAATTCTTGCTCTGAGGTCCCGGTATCGTATCTGTAGTTACAACTTAAGTCAGAAAGAACTTCTAAGCAGCTGCTGCCTTGAAATGATAGCAAAGCTTGTTCTGGCTTGAAGTGATAGCAAAGGGATGTAGTTTTGAACTGACAACTCTCTGGAGCAAGGATTCATGTTGCGATGGATGGGGAGAAATTAAGATGTATGGAACAAGTCTCCATATATTTAATAGCTCAAGTATAGATGAACTCCTGCTTCTGTGCCAGCTTGAATCCAGAAAGACTTGAATTGCTTTAGCTTAAATGAAGCCTAGGTTAACCAAGTCTTACAAAATAGAGCTAGCTCTATAGGAAGGTAGCTCAGATGCTCTGTACTACTGTTTTTGTTCCAATACAGTGGCTGAGGTAGTAAGCACTCCTTCAGGCTGTAAAGCTGGTCAGTACTGTGTAACGAGACATTTGAGTAGTTCTGCAGGGCTCGTCTCTAAATAGTGTTGAAATAAAATGCCTCTCAGTGACAAGCCTGCTCAGTCTGGCATGCCACTGAACAGCAGATACTGTGGCCACTGTGGTGCTTTACTGCATCACCCTTTCCATTTTTAGCCTCTTACCTACCTCTTTCTCTATTTCATTCTTAGACCTGAATGCCAACCTTCTGTTCCATATGTTGTAGGGTTCTGTGGCAAGGCCCATGTCGTGGGTAAATTTGGCAGCCAGTGCCCAAATACAGAACAAAATGTATCCATTTTCAAGGCAATTAGAAGCTAAGTGGCTTCAGAGGGGTAAATGCTGTAAACTAGTATCTTTTCATTGTGGTGCTTGATTCTAGATCTGAAATTAATTCATCAGATCTGAAATTAATAAACAGAGGGGAAAAATACAATTTTTAAACCTCTGAATTAAAATTTAAGTCTTCTATCTAGCTTTGAGGTCTGCTTTAGACATCAGAAAAGGTTTTGAGCAAGCCACTGTGCGTCATCAGTTCCACTTCTTTAAAGCGAGTAGCTTTGATTCTTTTATTTACATGTAGGAGAGAAGGGAGATTCAGTTAATGTCTGAGATACTTGGATTATGTTGGTAACTTTCATATATGCTGTGCAAAGGTGATTCAGATGAAACAGTGATTTTTAGTTAATAATTTTAAAGTATCTGAGTTTCAGAAAATAAGATAACACATTCTTTAATTCTGGTTCTCTTTTCTAAAATCTTATGCTTCTGGGGCTCATTAATAGTGACAAGCATTTCTGGTTCTGCAACAGCTTGACTAAATCAAGTGTATATAAAATAAAACTAACTAAAAGTTTTTGTTGTTCTAATGAATGCTATGTGAAGCACAAAGTTCTTGGAAGTAAAATATTAGTTTAAGACTTGTAGTAATACTTGGTTTAACTTAAAACCATTTTCGTCTCCAAATTAAAAACAACTGTCCAGAGATTGTTTAGCTTATAAGAATTGCCAAATTCTTGTGTTGTTGCAGAAATTTCCACGCACAGTAAAGCTGTGCTGCTGATGCTAATAATGCCAGTAGGATGGAAGGAGAAATAAAAGGAGAAAATTAAAATAGGTTCTTCAGGTTACTTTTTTAAACCTGTGTTTTGCCTCCTAAGGCTAACCAGAGAGTAACTTCAGTCAATTCTCAATAAAATTGTTCATTTTGAACATTCTCTTAAGTTTCTTAGAAATATTTAATGTAAAAGTGAAGTGAGAATGAATAATCAATATAGAGAATGTTTAATATGAGTAACTTGGGTAACTTGGGTTTTTAAGGCTTTACCTTTTGACTGGTCTGGAACATTTTTTAAATGGGATGCTTTCATTAGATTATTGGTATAATCTAAGATTATAAATGGCTCCATAATAGCACAATAAAAACTATTTAAATGGTGCTTCAGCCCAGAAGAGATTTGACTTCTTTTCGCTACTTATTTTCAAAATATTTTTGAAAATAATACTTATTTTCATTTTTAACGTGTGGTTGTTTTATATAATGCAGAAACTGTTTTGAAGTCTGATAAAATTTATTTACTATGTGCTGCTTTTTTTTTTTTTTGTGTGAATGAGCATCTCCACACTTTCTCAACTGAGGTGTTTGCTAGGATGTTTAAGTACAGGATACACTGTGTGTAAGATTTTTTTCATGCAGTCTAATCCTGTTTTCTGGGCTAAAATAAAACATTTTTACGTCAACCAGAAATTACACTTTCCATAGAACTTCCAGATGCTTGATAGCAAAGGTAGTAAGTAAAAAAGCACTTTGAAGCAGTAAGATTGTCACAAATCTTAGACCAGTTACACTTCAGGCATTGCATAGTCAAATGGGAAGGATGAAGGTGGTGTTTGTACGTAAGGATGGAGGCAGAGTGCATCCATGGAATAGTGCATGAATATGTGATTATATACCTTGAAGGTCTGTGTAATCTAGATGCCTGCAGTCATGTATTTAATTTATGGGTATGTATTAACTTCTGCTGTACCTTCACATGTATAAACTAAGTTTAGAAACTAAGGCCTAAGGCTTCCTTATGGTCAAACGTGCTCTGAATAGAAAACAAAAACATGACAGTTTTCATTCAGGAATTAAGACATTCACTGTGAAATTAAAGGGGAAGAATCTGGAAATTCTGGAAAATGAAAACCTATCTTAACCAGAATTGCCTAGAGAACAGCTTCTCATCAGGGTATTTTTTCATAATCAATTAAAATTTCAGTCTCCTGTTTTCAGCTTTACAACTATCAAAAACATTAGTTTTTATTACTAAATTATCAGTTTTATTTTCATTTAATGAGCCCAGTTAAATTAAATAGTTTAGAGAAAATATGCTTGGAGGTAGGCACCAAGACATTTTAGGTGATTAATTTTCTGAAGTGTGTAAGCAGCTGACAACAGAGGTAAAATGTATAAATGGGTAAAATGTGTCAGCAGTTTTTTTTTTAAAGTTACTTATTTAGAGCTGCACATATCACTGTAAGGTCGCAGCTGTATACAAAGGCTTGTTTCTCTGGATGTTCATTTAGCACAGTCACTTTCCATTTGAAACTGGATGTGAAATTACCATATTGGCTGTATGTAAGGGTATTTTCTATGTGATTGGTCCTTGTGCATTTAAAAAGAATGACAAGACTGTTTACTGTGATTTCCTGACTTAGTATTTTGTAAAAATAAATGTTGCAATTAGGAAAGCCTAAGTCTTTTAATCACTAATACAATTAATCAAAGGCTTGTTAATATATATTGCTTTTGTATTTCCTGTTTTCTTTTGCTTAGGTGAAAAACTTTGCTGTTATTTATCTTGTGGATATCACTGAAGTACCAGACTTCAACAAGATGTATGAGTTGTACGATCCCTGTACAGTCATGTTTTTCTTCAGGTACATGATGGTTTTTAAAATATAAGTCAACTGTGAATGTGTTCTTAGTACAGTGCCTCAGTAGAACTATAGATCATTTCTAAATGCATATCTGCATGCTGATGCTTATGTTTATGTTGCTCTAGAAAAGAACAAACTCTTCATCAGAGTATAGTGATAGGAAAAGGGGTAATTGCTTTAAACTGAAATGTAGATTTAGATTAGACATAGGAAGAATTTGTTACTGGGAGGGTAGTGAGGGTTTGGAACTTCTTGCCCAGAAGAGTTGTGGATGCCCCATCCCTGGAGGTGTCCAAGGTCAGGTTGGATGGGGCTTTGAGCAACCTGCTCCAGTGGAAGGTGTCCCTGCCTGTCACGGGAGGGGTTTGAAATAGGTGATCCTTAAGGTTCTTTCCAACTCAAACCATTCTAATATTATATGACTGAATAGGCAAATGACTTGTTTGCCAATTAGCATTGTAACAGTATTTTGATGATAATGAACAAATTAGTGATAGTGAAAACTGTTTTTATTATGCTTTGGGTATAGTTGTAACTAAAAAAAAAATAATTATAGAATGCTGCAGTAATACAGGAGTCAACCTTGTCAAACTTGCTCTAAAGATATATCCAAAGTACTAAAATTTTTCGAGCCATGGCACCTACTTTGATAAGTGTGGGATTCTCGTGTTAGATGGTAGTGGGAAAGAAATACAAATAATGAGGAATATACTGAAGAGTAATTGCATTGAGGAGCATGTTTGCAATCTTTGTTTTAGCTTTAGGAATAGGCAATAAAATGTCACTTTGAGGGTGACAGGAACAGATACTTTGACACTTATTATAACCTCATTGTTATAAGGCTTCTTTTGAATCCTACAAAGCATTCTTATGAGGGATAGATAAAGTTTCTTTTTGAATTATAACTCTATTAACCTGTTTGGTTTCTTCTCTCCCTGTAAAGGAACAAGCACATCATGATTGATTTAGGTACAGGTAATAACAACAAGATCAACTGGGCAATGGAAGATAAGCAAGAGATGATTGACATTATAGAAACTGTTTATAGAGGAGCCCGAAAAGGTCGAGGCTTGGTGGTATCGCCAAAAGATTATTCCACTAAATACAGATACTGACACGTCTTTGGGGCAGCCTTTTCTTTTAGCCCTGCATCTACTGAAATTTATTATTGTGTATGTGCGTACTATATATATGTCTATTTAAAACAAAAATAAACAAAAAAAAAAAAACACAAATTGTTCAACTTTGAGCATATTTGAATTATTTAAAAGCTTTGAATTTTGTTTTAAAAAGGTAGAAGTCAAATCCTGGAACTGTCTGACTGCAGTAATACTGTAGCTGTTTTTTGTTTTTTTTTGTTTTTTTTTGACTTTTACTCTGTGTTGACCTTTTGGTATGATGCATTTTTGTACACAAAAATCCTGTTTGTAGAAAAACATTTCAATTGTCTTTGCTTGCTTTTGTTACATAAATATCTGGGAAAATTATAGTGTAGCTTTTTTAAGAAGAATAAAACGAGGTCCACTGATTTGCCTTAATGTTCTTTAAAGTTGAGAAAGAAAACAAATGTAATTGGATGCAAAATCTTGAAGATAAAGGCTTGTCACCTTTTTGTGGATTTTCTTGCATAGTGTCTTGGTCTTTTGTATCCAGTAACAAAAGGGAATATACTAAGGTGCATTTGTTAATATTTAACAAAGCTAAATAAAAACATCTTCAGTGATCCCCCACCCCTCAATCAACTTAATAAAGTTGTGATGGTGGAATTTTCGTTTTCATGGTGATTATGTATGCTAGTCATTTCAAATACATCGTAGTAGATTCTGTTCCAAAGGGTAGTTGCAGTTCTGGACCTGGTTGCATAGTCAATGCTTAAAGAAAGGATGAACTGTGCTTTCTCTAGAGCTGAATTTGTCTAATGGTAGAGCGAAGTGTTTATATACTCATGAAACTTGGATTGGATTCCACTGTGGTATGGCTTTTGAAGTTTCCATGCATGTTTCTGGTAACTTCTGTTCCACAGTAATGGAGTCACTGTCGGTTCGTTATTTGCTTTTTGTTACTGCTCTTTGTTTGTTTTTTAAACTGATACATGAATATTTAGAGAATTAATGAAAAGCAAGCCAGACTGCAAGAAATGAGGTACGTGTGTTTTGAATCCAGTTTGTCACAAAATGAAGTGTTCAAAATGGAATTTATATTTCTGTTGTCCATTCTTAACAGAAAAGTAAATAGTATTCAAACTACTTCAAAGGTTCTATCAAACTAGCTTAGTATACAATGTTAAAGAATGGAATTCAGTCTAGTTATTCTTAGAGTTGCTTCCATGAACCTAAATTGAAAACTTACTCTGTTTGTTACTGTCTAAGCACACAAAATTCATTAATGACTCAGTTGCATATTCTGTATTGCCAGTTGCTTACAGGCTTATCCATAGAGATAGAGTTTTTATACTTTGTCTTCCCAGTGATTGCAAAGCTGATCTATAGTGTGATCTCAATCCGTGTGATTGATTTAGCAAGATGTTGTAATATGGTTAGGCCATACCTATTTTGGTACTCAGATGATAAACCAGTTCAACAAACTAGTCTAGTGGATGGCAGCTTTGTTACAGTTGGGTACATTTTCTAATGTGAAGAATTTGAGCATCAAAATGGCACATGCAAGTTGAAAAAGTATTGTCATAGAAGGAGCTTGTTATTCTGAGAACACTTAAGAATACAACAAAGAAACATGATGAAAATTTTAATATTAAATGAAATTCACTTTCTACATTGAAAAAGTTTGTGACTGGTAAGCTAGCTGTACAGGATAGATTTGTATCCATAATATTGCTTTTGCCTCCCCTGAAATGAGTGGTTCATTACCCATTACAGGAATTACAGTTTGGATGAATAAACCCAGCTTCTGTCATGGCATGGTGCAAGCGTGTTGGTTTCCACTGGTACGTTTTGTGATTGATTGCAAGCAATGACGCATTCCCTGATTCAGTGCAGTGCTGTTCTCCCTTTATCTTTCTTGATCACATCCTCATTTCAATGCTGCAAAACAGTGAATAAGTAGGTTAGTGGTTTAATTATTCATGAATGTGATTCAGCATAAAATAAGATCTCTATACAGTTAAATACATCTTCATGAGACTCTTTCCATATTTGTAAAAACAATTTCATAGCTTATCACCAGGAAAAAGGCAAGATAAATAGATACTGAAATTACTTCAACATATTTACAGACATTTCTGTCTTTCACTGCATAAGCAATCTCAGCTGGTTTAAATCAGTAAAGCCTGCAACAACAGGAAGAAGGCAACATCAGCGCGTACAGAACTCTAAAATGATGCTGAGATAAATACCAAAAAACACCAGCTAAGGCATACATCTGGGGGGATTGTTTGTAACAGACAGCAATATAAAATCTAACATGCAGCCCACCTACTCATACTACCAAGTATTTGACAACAATGTTGTTAACTTCCTCAGTTAACTTCCACCTCGCATTTTACTGCTGCAAAGAATACATTATTGCTCTGTTCTGGGCAAGGTGTTTATGAGGTGTGCTCTGAGTCACACTGGGAAGCTGTAGCAAGGTTTAAAAGAGGTGTACATAAATTTATGCCACAGAGAGTCCTCAGCCACCTCTGTTAGCATACTTGAGAGACAGGACTAGTGGACAGGAGTGCTTTAAGCCACACACATTTTCTTACAAATATACAGCCTCAGTTTACATATTTTGGATTAGTTTGCACAACAAGCTATAGTTTGGGTTCTTCTGCAAAAGTGGTAGCATTTTTTGGCTCTTGTGGAAAAACAAATCCAAGGTAATTTTAAATATTTTAAATACATTCCCAGTATATATTAAAATCCAAGTAAATACATAAACACTACTTTCATGCTAGGTGCTGCCCATATTTCAAAACTGAGTAGAAATACATATAATACAGGAAAAGTAAAGTTTCTTTACTCTTGACTCTTCATCGGTATTCTCTATCCCAGCCTCTGTCATTAGGTCAGCAACGTGCTTCTCAAGGTCATCAATACGCTCGCCCATTTCTTCCAGTAAGAAGTTAAAGATAACTACGAGATATGAATGCTATGATTGCATTTTTTTTATTATTCTATGAGAAAAATACGGAGCTTTCTTCCAGATGCCTCAGCCTTTTACTTACTCATGTTCAACATTAATGCAAGGTGAAGCTCACAGGTATAGCACAAGGCTGTATTATAACAAGACAATCCTACTTTCTCCTGAAACAGGGAAGCATTCCAGTTCTAAATGTTATCACATGCTTTCCTGTCTGCCTGCGAGTGAACTAGAGTATCTTCTGTGTAAAAGATTGTTTTCTGTCCAAGGAGCTATTTTAGGTAATGCCATACGGTCAATATAAATAATCAAGATATAACTGCTGTTAAACATTTATTTTTCTTCTTTATACTAAAGATGCAACTTCCTGAAAGTGGGGAGTTTCAGAAGAGTAAAATGTGTTGAGTCTGTAGTTTCAGAAAGCAGAGACAGATCCTGTTAACCACATCTAAGGAGAAAGCTCAGTGACCCTTCATGTCTTGTTTTCTTTATCTGTGCTTAACTTCCCAAACTCAGGAGCCTAACAGAGTTGTTTCTAACCCACCAACACGCAGTGTTATGCTAATTTAAATGCATTTTTGAAGATGGCTCTTTTTTTTTAAATGTACCTTCAGAATAGTTGCACATAATCTGTCCTGTACTTTACTTGAAAGCTAGAATTGATGTACAGAGACTAGCTCACTGGGACTGATCTGGCCTTCAAGAAAACCTTTTTAGGATTTCCTTAATAAAGGGAAAAAAGAAACAGGGTACAGTTCAGCTGTCTTTATATCACAGGTATCTAACTACATCAATCACATCTTAATTTGATATTCTGAAGAAGCACATCCTGATTTTAAAAAGATCGACAACAACGACAACAAAAACAACAAGACTTTACATCTATTTGTTAATGAAGGGAACGGAAGGGAAGGGAAGGGAAGGGAAGGGAAGGGAAGGGAAGGGAAGGGAAGGGAAGGGAAGGGAAGGGAAGGGAAGGGAAGGGAAGGGAAGGCCTAACCCTGTGGAGGAGCTACACCTCCAGAAGTTACAAAACTTGGCTCACAGAGCTAGTAACCCAGATTAAAAAGAGGATATTTCTCAGCGTTATCTTTTCAGTCAGAGCTTCAAAATTCTCCTGCAGCTGACACAGCAGGCTCTCCGCCTGGGAAAAAAAGAAACGACGAGATAAAAAGCAGGAGGGTCCCAGCAAGGACAGCAGGGGGTCAGCCCTCACACAGCCGCGGCTCTCGCTCCCTTCCTCCCTCCCTCCTCCCTCCCTCCCTCGGCCGGCCTCCAGCCGCAACCCCCATACCTCCCCGGCTCCCCGAAGGGAAAGCCGCTCTCCCCGTGGCCTTTTCGCCTTCTTTTTCCATCCTATTCCTCCAGGGCAGCCTCTCCGCTGCGGGCGGGGGGGGGCCCGCTGAGGCCGCCCCAATACGAGGCAGGCGCCTGACAGGGGGGCACCCAGCCCGGCCGGGCTTTCCTCGGAGCATCCCCGACCCGCTTTAGCCCCAAGCTCCCCGCAGGAGCCAGCACCCGAGCTCACCAGCTGCGGGAGGGCCCCCGCTCCCGGCGGCTCGGCGGCCGCCATCGCTCGCGGTGCCGCCTCCCCTCCCCGCCAGGTGAGCGCCCCGCCGGGGCCGGGCCGGGCCGCGTCGCTGCCTGCCCGCCTGCGGGGGGCTGCAGGGAGCAGGTTTTGTCCAAGACGTTGATTTATTTGTAAGGTGTTAGGGGTAGAGCTGGTGATTCCTCACCTCTCTCTTCACTGTAAAACTTAAGAGGTATGGCAAGGCTGGAAAAAATGGTCTCATAAGCGTTTATGTTACAAAACAACTATTTCTATTATGTCACAAAATAACTATTTCTGGTTAAAAAATCATTAAATTTTGTCTACCTGTAATTTTGTCTACCTGTGGTATGCCAATTTAAATAAAGAAAAACATTTATCGATTAATAAGGCCCAAGCTTTTTTTTTTTTTTTTTTTTTTTTTTTAGTTGTTGTTAGTAAGTTTGTTTCCTTTTTCCTTGTAATTAATTTTGTAATACAGACTGGCCCAAATACCAGTGCTCTTTGAAGCTTGTTGCACCAGGACTTCTAAGCAGGCAGGACCAAAGGCATGGAGGAGAATTGCGTGCTGCCTCCTAGCAGCCCAGCTAACACGTAGGTCACCCGTGGTTTTCAATGTTGCGGCACAAAAGCCTCCCAGTCTATCTATTGCAAAGGTGTCTTACTGTAAGTAGAGTATTCCAGGTGCTGTAACTGTTGCCTGATGCAAATGAAGAGGTTTTCAACTTACAGTGCCTGTATAATTAGAATAGTACTGTTGGGCAATAGCTTTCCTTAGTCTGTTTTTCACAGATGTGCCAAATACGTAACAGTGCTTTCCTACATAATAATTCTCTCTGCTGAGCTAGTAACCTGAAATGCTGGGAGGATTATCTTTTGTAAGTCTACCAGTCGGTATCTTTCTTAATAAACATAATTGTTTTCCCTTTTGACTTTATCCTGCCTGATTTAGGAGGGAGAGGTAATCCCTGTGGTAAGATTCTGGCATCAAAACAAATCTCCCCTTTGCTACCTGCTTCCCATTATCACGGCATCTCCTCTGTACATCCTTATCTTCCTATTCTTGCAGATTCTTCTCCTTGCCTTTCTTGTTGTAGAAAGAAAAATCAAGCAAGTTTTTCAGAGTTCGAGTAATCTACCAGTATCCCACTGCTCTAGAAGGCTTCCAGATAAAACAATGTGAACAATAAATCTATGTTGATATTCTTTGCAATTGTATGTAGCAACTCACTGCATCCACATAGCTTTTTCATTCTGTTGCATAAATAATAAGAAACAATTTTTGTTTCTTACATGTTTATTAGTTGCTAATAGATCTCCCTTCCCTTAGGAGTAGATAGTAGAGCTGTACTGCTTTTCCATTTTTACTCCTGATAACAACAATAGTCTTGCTGGTTTTCCCACTTGCCAGAACAACTACGTAAGCTTCCCTCTTATGCAGCTGCATTTTCCCCTTGAGGCAGTTGAAAAGGTTCTGGCTCCTTGGGTCAAGCTATCTTGAATAAAGGCATAGAGTCCTGTTTGTGGTGAAGAGCTTGCAGATGTACAGAAACATCTGGAAATATGGAGGATTCATCATAGAAACAACAAGCTTGTGAGAATTGCACTAAATCTCTATAGCACAACATTTTAGCAATGGCTAGGTGGGGTCTAGAGGGGAAGACATATGAGGAGTGGCTGAGGTGCCTTGGTTTGTCCAGCCCTGAGCAGAGCAGGCTGAGGGGAGGCCTCATGGCGGCCTGCAGCTCCCTCATGAGGGGAGCAGAGGGGCAGGCGCTGAGCTCTGCTCTCTGGGGACAGCGACAGGACCCGAGGGAACGGCATGGAGCTGGGACAGGGGAGGGTCAGGCTGGGGGTTAGGGAAAGGTTCTGCACCCAGAGGGTGGTTGGGCACTGGGACAGGCTCCCCAGGAATGCGGTCACGACACTGAGCCTGTCAGAGTTCAAGAAGTGTTTGGACAACGCTCTCAGACACATGATGGTCAGTCCTGCGTGGAGCCAGGAGCTGGACTCGATGATCCTTGTGGGTCCCTTCCAATTCAGGATATTCTGTGACTCTGAAACATGTAGCTGTGTATGGCTAATACAAAGCTGTTTTTATGAAGTAGAAATAAAAGTGTTTATAAATTAAAAAAAAAAAAAAATGGTTGTGGAAAAAATCCAAAGTTCAGCAAACCTAAGGACAGAGGGGACAAACAGAGGACAAACAATTTTGCTTAGCAAAGAGTATATTTAAAATAGCATTCTCAGCTTGGCCCTGTTATCCACTGTTCTCTCCCTCCTTAAAGGGCTTAGCTTCTCAGAGTTGAGCTGTTACATTCATTTCCAGGGTTTGAAATCCAGCAATGTAAATGAACCATATTTTAAAAACAGTTGTCCATGTTAGGAGTGCATTCATGGGCTAACAGAACCTGAGCAAAAATCTTTTTATTTTTTTATTGGTTTCAAAGGCATAGGTTTAGATGAGAACCAATAAACAGCCAGTGCTGCTACTATTTATGAGTATTTACTCCAATAAGTAAAGAACAATTCATTTATTAAAAGGGAAGTTGATGTTGGTAATGAATACAAAAACAGATCTTGAGGGGGGCAGAGAGAGGAAGAGATTTGACAATGTAAATTCAATTCCCATCCAAAATAGACTCTATGTTACTTTATTTCAGAAAAAAGTCTTGGACTTTAGTCTCTTTCAATTTAAAAATGTCCTTGGTGTGAAGCACAAGAAGTAAAAATAAAAATGGGTTGACCTAGAAACTGGGGAGCCATCTTCTTACATCCTATTTCAGAATTGCAGGCCTGTACTGTGAACCCTTCAAACTGTGGTTTTATGATAGCCAGAGTGTACTTCTTGCTCTTTCTTAGGGAAATTCCAGTCCCTCTCATTCTGGAAGGAGATGTCAGGGCAGCAAGATAGGAAGTAAAAATATGTTTAAGCATTTACAGTTCTACACTCTGTCAATGCCATTACTATAAGACACGATGCTGTAAAAGCCTGCAGTGTGGAGAAAGGAATTGTTTTGTAGAAAAGTGCTATTCTTGCTGTTCAGATGTTATGTAAAGTCCCTTCCCTCTCCTCTTTGCTGACAAATGAGGTTTTATATAACAGGGGTCAGGAATCCTTCAGCTGTATACTTGGAGCACGTCTGGCTGAAGGCTGCTATGGAGCAGTGGTGGTGATGGAGAGAGAGCTTCCCAACAACAACAAAACAACAAAAAACAACCCAAACATGTGTTTGGTAACAAAGAGATCAGGAAATTTAATCTTAAAATGAGACAGGAAGGCAAGCATTCCTGGGACACCAAGGTGTGGTAGCAGCTTGTCATACTGTAGATCAGAAGGCGGTATGCAAATCATGCTGCAGCTTTTGGGGGTTTTGCATTTTTTATTGGGAGGGTGGCACAGGCACGAACAATTGTTAAAATTTTATTGTGAAGAGAAGTGGTCTAGGTACAAGCTAGTTCTTGCACCACAGATGTGCTATTTCTGCTACCAAATTGTACAGTTGGGTGTTTGAGTCATGCTTTGTTTGGTCTTTCCTTGTCTGTTAGGAAGTCTCTCTTACATCAGAGTTTGCAGTCATTGTTCGGAAGGATACAATGTGCAGAAAAAGCATCTGGCACTGCTAGGTAATCAGATTTTGTATGTTGAAATCCTAAATGTAGCTGGTGTTTCTTGCAAGCTGTGAATGTTTATTTCTCTTGACTCGGCATAATCTAGTTCACTGAAAACTTGTTCCACTGGAATACTCACTGGCGAAGGCATCAGTTTTCTTTAATCTGGTAACATCAGTAGAAGTTACGTTATTGTTACTTGAAAGTATGAAAAGGTGTGGTGAGCGAAATGCAAATGCTTCAGGCATGGAGAAGAGGAGTTGAGGTCAGCAGTGTCTGACAGATCTAACACTTCTTTGAAAGGTGAGTCATTTGAGGTGAACATTAAAAACTTGTGCATGTTTCAAATTTCAAATTCTGCGTCTCTGAGGAGAAAGAGGTAATTCCATTGGTCAGGAAACCTGATTCCTGATTGCCACGTTCTGCCTTCAGTCAGGTTGTTGCTTTTTGGTTCTGCTGCTCATGTGAATGCCCTAAATGTGAAGCTTGTTCAGTCGGTCCCTTTCTACAAATTTCTGCAGAAAGAAAACTGTCAGGGTTAAAGATACTCTTTATGAGAAGTTTCTTGTGGGAAGTAGGGTGTCATGTATCACCAAGTAACTGTAAGAGAAAACAGGGTATGGTTTTCTCTCTAAGTGTTCTGCACTGGGGATAAATGTGCGTTTGTAGGAGGAGCAGAACACCCACCTGCAGATGCTTCGGGTATGGAGACTGGAGTGGTAGTGTCCTTTGGCTGTGTGAAGAGTTTTGTATAACTCATAGCTGTGTGAAATCACCTGTCTAGCTGCTGTTGACCAAATTATTATGCTGTAATCCAGAAATCTCTAGCGCTCTTTCTCAGGTATGGTTGGTAAAAGATGCTACTTGTACTGTTTTCTGCTCCAACCTAGTTGGATGTTGTAGGTGCCAGATGGAGCTTTCCTGAAGAAAAAAACATGTGACAGGTAAGGATCTGCCTGTGTCCCACCACACTGGTGAGGCAAATCAGCTTTTGCAGCATAGGGATGGCGATCCAGCTTCACATGGAAAGGCCCCCTGCTCAAATCCCATAGCCTTGCCTGTTTGTTTAGGTGTCTCATGGCCACTGCAGAATGTACGTTTTATATGCAGAGATTAAATGTGGTATGGGTGTGGGCAGGGATGTGATGGAAAGAGTACAAAATTTGTTGAAAAGGCCTGTGCTGAAGAGGCTGGAAGCTGGGCAAAAGACAGGATAGTTCTGCTGGTGGGAGGTGGTGAGCGATTGCCATTGCATCACTTGTTTTTCTCCATATATTAAACTGTCTTTATCTCAACCCATTAGTTTTTTTTCTTGCTTATGCCCTTTTGATTCTTTCCCCCATCCTGTTGGAGTGAGCAGCTGTGTAGGGTCTTTGCTGCTGCCTGGGGTCAGCCGACCACGCTGTCTCTTTCCTCGGTATCAAAAGCCCCTTGCTGAATGCAGTGATCCTGTAATTAGTAAGTGTTTTGCACTGGGGACTGAAGTGAGGGAGAGAGAGACAGTACAGGGCTCTTTTTGTATCTCAATAATGAAGGCCTGATGACAACAAATGGCTTAATAAAACAGCTGTTTTTATAAGACTGAATAAGAAGGGGAATATAGATAGCAAGTAAATCTATAGCCCCTTCAGCTGCTGGGCACCATATGTTCATGTAGCATCAGATGGACCCTGGATGGATATTCCCAAGGGACGCTGTGCAGTTCCTGTCCGTAGAGAGAAGCTCCTTCTTTTTGGTCCTTCGAGCTATTAAATAGCTTTCCTACAAGTGAACAACTCCATTCCTAAAAGTTGTTCACATGACAACTCCTTCCCGCACTGTTAGATAAAGGCAAGGCCACTCAGGTGGAGGGGTCACTGGTGCCAAGCGGGGGCTGCCTGCTGGCTGCTCTGCCACCAGGGAGCTGGCTGAGGTGATTCTGCAGTCAAGGGGCACGGCGACACAGCACAGCAAAGTGGAGCATGCCACCGCTATGTGGAGTGAGAGAGAGATGGGCTTGTATGCCAGACACATGTTTTGTAGGTCTGCCATGAAAATGGAGAGGGAATTCCTTGTCATACCAGTGGGTGTTGAACCCACATTTATACTCACTGGTCTGTGGAGATTTTGGTCAGTTTACAAAGAACAGTACAGAAGGAGGAAGAAGTGGTGAAGATGAGCAATAAAACAGCCTCTCCCATTAATGTTAGTTTAATTCTTTCTATCAGTCACAAAAACAGGGGCTCACCTGTGCTTTGAACAGTCCAGGAGGTAGCTTCTGCCACCAGCTATAACAGGGTTGCTTTAGAAAATCAAGTGTGGAGTGAAGAGGACAGCTGATTTAGTGATAATATATCTTGGTAGGAACGGTCAATTTCAATGTACTTAAGACTCATTTACTTGTTTTATGAACGGTACAGTGAATATTTCCTTTTAATCTCACTGTGACTCTATTTATAGGATGAGATAAAATGTGATAACGGAAGGGAATTTTGGCTACTGCAGGAATTCACATAAGCCTTATGACAGCATTTATTGTGCAATGCATTCAAGGCTCGGACCTTATCTGCATTGTGTCTTTAGACTGTCTTGCAGGGACTTCCTACATTTGCTTGAGTGTAACAACATTTGTCTAATGTAGACTATAAAATTATTTTAATACTCATCTTTTAAAATGAATTGTCAGAACACAGACCAGGTAGAAGACTTGCAGCAATCTGCTACTTTTGCTGTTGCAGTGATGAACTGTGAAGCATCCCCAACCCCCAGAAGACGAATGAACAAACGACCCCAAACTGCAGAGAAGTTGCTAAAGCTGCTAAGGTCTTGAAACTGGTTGAACATGGATGGTTGATTCCTGCATCCCAAGTGTCCCAGGAGGCCCTAGCATCCTTCTGCTGAGAATATGGCTACGTGGATCCAATTGTAGAAACAAGCCTCTTTTAACTCTCCTAATTCAGTATACCTATCTACAAAGCAAAACCTTGTGTGAAGTGTCCTGTCTGCTGCTGTTTTCTGAATGGGTAGCACAGTTCTACCAAATGAAAGATATAGATATATATTTTAAAGGGGGAACTTTGCCAGTCCACAGGGAAAACTAAATACCCCTATTTTGTCTGCAGTTCACTGGGATTGATTTCTGGCAGTGTAGCAGTACTGTTTCCATGGTGGGCTCCGCTTTTACACCAGGGCAGTGGTCCTCCTGAGCTCCCTCAGAAAAGCAGCTGGATGTAAACCCTTACAAGGGTTCACCTGGCTGAACCCAGGCCTGCAGGCTGCTGAACTTTTCCTCGGTCAGGCAATGTTTAAAACCAGCTGCTATCTCCCGAGCTGTAGATTTTCTCTGCAGGGCTCTCCTGTCAGAGCCTTGCTGGGACTGCTGTGGTGGGATGTTCGCGTGCCAGGGTATGTGTTATGGTTAGCCGGGGAGCACCGTAGGTTGGCACCGCTGCCAGAGGATGTTACTTCAGCTGCTTGCTCTGACACCTGAGCAGAGCCCCCCGTGCTGGCACAAGCTGCTGTGCGGCTCAGCAGCTTGAAGCCAACCTGTCACCGCACCTGCCAGCCAGCCTGGCACTGGCAATCATTTTAGCTTATGTGACTAATTCCTGAACAAGGAGGGCCTTTTTAAGGGACCAGATCTGCGCTGTGTTCAAGCAGCAGCGTGTCAACGAGCTATGATTTTTACATTTTCCTCTTCATCTGAAACGAACCCAAACGACTTTTAACAATTCCACGGGCTTTTCTCCACAACCCACTCGTATTTTACGCTAACAGCACCCGCCCTTCCTCCACGGCCCGGCCTCCCCTCACGGCGGCCGCGGGGCGGCCCCGGCGCCCATTGGCGGAGGCGCTGCGGGTCCCCGCGGCGTCACGGAGCTCGCCGGGGCCCCGCCGGCTGCCGGCGCGGCCATGGCGGGGGCCGCAGCGGGGCGACCAGGTCGGGGCGGGCGTGAACCGGCAGCCAGGGGATGTGGGGGGAGCTTGGGGCGTGCGGGAGGAGCGGGGAGGCCCCGCCCGAGAGCCGGCCGGGCGGCGGGGCCGCGCTCGGAGGGGCTGCGGGGCCGCCCCGCTGCCCGCGTCCCGTGCTCGGCGCTGCGCTCACGCCCTCCCGTCTCCCCCCCGGCAGGTCCCGGCGAGGAGTGCGGCTGAGAGAGGCTCGGCTCGGCTCGGCTCTCCTGCCTGCCCCCGCCATGGAGACGGAGGGCCTGGAGTGGCTGCTGGTGCCCGTGCGGCAGCTGGTGGCCTGGGGCGCCGCCGGGGCCATGGTGTTTGGCGGCGTGGTGCCCTACATCCCGCAGTACCGGGACATCCGCCGCACGCAGAACGCCGAGGGCTTCTCCACCTACGTGTGCCTGGTGCTGCTGGTGGCCAACATCCTGCGGATACTCTTCTGGTAAGCACCCGCTTCCGAGCCTTCATTTGGAATCCCCGAGGAAATAACGCCGTTTTTATGTGCTTCTTGCCCCTCTCGCAAACACCAAAAAGCTGCTTCGTGGGTGAATCTGCACTGAGTGTAACCAGCCGGGCACAGGAGCCCGTCCTTCCAAACAGCATTTTCTGATTTGCTGCTAAATAAAAATAATTATTTTAAGTCAGACCTCTTTTCTTCCTCTTTTATCCTTCCCTTTCCCTCCAGCTCTGTGCTCTGAGCGAAGGCCCCAGCCCTGCGCGCTCGTTGTAACCTCCAGCAGGTCTGAAAGCTGCTGGGACGCTGCCCAGATGTGCTCGCCCTTCCCTGCGATGCCAGCTGGCTTCAGGGGAGGTTCGCTTCCGCAGCTCCACAGATGAAAGCATCGTAATTTGATAAGCAGGAAAATGGTGGGCTGTTGCCCAAAGCACGCTCTTCCTGTTTCCAGCACGCTTCTCAGCGTTAAAAGGCGTGTTTATTTTCGTAGCTTGATCTGGTGTTGTTGAGCAAATAACGTTTTATTAGGGCGTGCATGATTTCCGTGAATAAATTTTATTAACTTACATTCCTCGCTACTTCTAATAGTGTAGATGCTGCAGCATTGGTCATATATTTGAGAAACCAATGGTGAGAAAGTCTGGGAAATGACTGCAACTAAGGACAGTCATTCTAAGAATATTTTGACTTAAAATAGCGCTTTGCAGTCTGCAAAGGACTGATAGGTAAAAAGCCACTTCCTTCTGTTGGTTTCCAGTTTCTTTTCAAAGCTTCTCTACTTCCTTAAGTGTATGCAGCTTTCTGGATTCTTCTCCAGCAAAATCAGTGTTGCAGTGTAGCAGGGAAACCTGTGGACCCTCTCCTGAGACCATAGCCTAGCAGTTGAACGGGGGAATCATCACTGGATCAGAGCTACTTGTTGCGCTGGAACTCTGCTTTCTTGGGGAGAAAGCATTGGAAAGAGAAGTGTATGGGACAGGTGTTGGAAAAAGCAAAAGGAAAGTAGAGGAGCTGATGGGAGGGGAGAAATTGAAGATTTTTTTTTGTTTTGTTTTACTAAGGAAGCTGAAATATACAAATGATTTACAGCCGAATGGAGATGCTGGCAGTTCCTAGGTAACCCAAGAGAGTGCATCTGTTAAATGAGATATGGAGTATGGAAGAGCTGGAAAATCTTATTTTGAGTTGATTTTAAGTATATCTCATTAAGAGATGTGCGGAAGAATAAATACTGTGAATAGTGAAAAATTTTATTTGATATTAACCTTAAAAGCTTTGTCAGCATTTGAAAAGAGAGAAAATGCAGTTACATTGGTCATGTGTTTTTTCTTAATTATTTTTTATTTTATTTTTTGCTGTGTGTATTTAGCTATATAAAAGTATTACTCCTTGACACACAGTAGTTCTGTGTGTGCTCTAGTCATCTCAGAGCTTGTCAGTGATGCTGAATGGCTTCATACATAGTATACATAGACATATCTGGCATGGCTACAGCAGGAGCGTAAGGGATGCTGCTGGCTTGTGATACAGCCACTTCCACAGGCTTATACTGTAGGCATGAGCCTACAGAAACATATCTGTGCTTATAATGAAGTGTCTCTTTCTGTTTCTATTAGCTAAATGACAGGAAAGAAGACTTGCCTAATGATAATTCAGTGTTCACGGAGAGGGAATATTTAGTTTCTCTACTTGTAAAGATTAGGCATCCCTACTAGTCCACAATAAACACTAGTAAGTCACAAATACAGTATTGTAGGTGGACTATTGTTCTTGGCCATATGGTTGATTAGAGTAAGATAGCAGAGTAAGAGCCTCAGACTTACTGGAACACTGTTTTAAATGCACCCATAGAGCAACTTGGCAAAATGATTTTTCTGTTAATAGCTTAATGTCATCTATAGCTGATGATACTATGTACCTTATCTGGGATGCAGCGCTCTAGGCTAATGTGACATAAGCAGCAGAATTATTTTAATCATATATGCCATTGGAAGGAATTAGTTGTGGTGTATTTGATTTTAAATTTATTGAATAATTTGATCCATTCTTGTGCTGGAACAGAGCTGTTTATTTTGTTTTGCCTATAATTTTCCCCAATCTGACTTTCAAAGTACCAGTCGATAAGACCAGTCCCCTTTTCTTTAGCAAATCAATCCAGATCTTAACACAGGTCTCTCTTTTGGAATCTTCAGTGACATTTGGCTCTTATTTTCAATTATTTTTAGTTTCTCTTCATTACTTTGTTATCACGTATGTGCCAGATTCATCCTTCCTGACTTCCCCTCCATCCTGATCCAAAAATAAGTACTTAAAATTGTAGGCTTTAAAAACTCTCAGGTTCTAATTGTGCTGCTTTGCAGGCTCTAATTATTCCTTAGGAAGGCTGTTTGTTTATTTTAACTTCAAAGACGTTTCTCTAATTTGCTGATTGTTTCTGTTGTTACTTCCAGATTTTCCTTAATTTCATATATTTTTCTTAAATACAAGGGTCACAGAGCAGAATGTCGCATTTTTTTGATCCATGCACAACAGGAACAGACAATTCCTGCATTTGTGCCATGTTTGCTATGTGTTTTCATTCTTCTGTGTGCTGGTCTTTCTGTATCTGTGTCAGTCGTAACAGATGTCCAGGCATTCAGTCCCAACTCTCCCCTCCTGGCTCTACTCTGCCTGTTCACTTAAGCTCTGGGACAATTCCCTCATTTCCTATTTGTGAATGGGCAGATTCCACGCGTTCCTAGAACTCTACTCCTCTCCCCCTGATGTTGTCATGGAGTTTGGACCTCCTCTCCAAATAAGGTATTTATTTCCCATTCTTCTTGGCATATTTTTGTAGGTGGAGTGTTAGCACTGTGATGGCAGCTAATGAACAAAGTACTTCTGCGAGCAAAGATAACAATCCTGATTCCTCTTTTCAATTTCTTCTCCTCTGATTACACTGTTTCTAATGGTAAGCAATTTTTAAAGTTGGAGGACTTAGCACACTGCTTCTTCTCCTCATCTTCCTCCCAACTAAACCCTTAGTTTCATGGCGTGTTCAAAGAGAAGAGTGTGCATTTGCTAGTGATGACAGTAACACGTTATCTACTAAACCACTTTTCATGCTTCTCTATTTCAGAGCGTCTCAAAACTTCATCTTTAGAAGGAGAGCTCTGCTTTCACTTTGGGGTGTTTGGCCTCGTCTGTGCCAATAGTGAGCTTTATGCCAGAACTTTATGGAAAAGTAGTGGGAGAGGACTGGCCTGCAAGAACGAAAACAACATACAGATAGCAGTGTGCATGAGTCCATTTCACTTTGTTTACGCATATGTGGCTTTCATTTAGGAAAAAGAAAGTAGAAGTTTGAGCATGCAGTCTTTTGACTTTTTGCAGCACCATTTTTGTTAGCTGATTCTTCCTGTACTTGCTAGAGTTAGCTCTGATTTCTTGTTCTAGCTTGGTTGGTAAAATATCTAAAGGATACGTGGTCTTACTGGTGCTTGAGCTTTGGGTGGTCAGTGATCTGGTGAAGTTGTCTTGTGCAGTTTTGAAGCTGAGCTCTGGCTGCCAGCTTCAGAGCTCACTGTGGCACTTGGGCACGGTGGTGACAAAGATGAACGTGCCTTCTTGGTGCGTCTGCCCTTCAGTTTGCCAGCTGCCAAGCTTTGAATTACTGTGATCGAGAACAGGAATAAGAAAGTGAAGAGTTGTGCAATCAGCTGGGAGTGGAGCATGCAGAAGAATTTGCGAGAGTTCTCTCCCTGCCCTCGTTGCCCTCTTTTGTTTAAACAGAGATTATAATAAATTATGGTTTCTTATATTATTAAAACCAGAATAAATAAATAGCTGGAGGAAAAAGAACTACAGATTCATTAGAAGTCAGCAGTAGGCATTTTAGTTGTATCTAGGGAAAGTTCAGCCAAAAGCTTCCTGCTGTTTCCAGAGGGCTTTGGACTTTTTTCAGTTGTGCAGTTAATAAAATGCTTCATATAGTAGTATAACATGACTTGTATATTTTTCAGGAAGATGATCTGTGTTCCATGAGTTTTGAGATGTAGTTCTGTTGGCCAGTGGCCTAAGCATCATGCAGCAACGTCAGAGAAATCCAAGCAACAGAAAGTAGCACACAACCTTCCCATTTTTGAGTTCTTGCGAAATTGTTGCCTTGAGGCAAGCTCTGGAAACAATGTTCTGACAGTAAGGGAAACAGTGGAAGCTACTGATTTTGTTATTTCTGAGCAAAGTCACCCTACTACCAGTTCCATACCAGTTCATCTGAAACAAGCTCGGTTCTGAAAGCTAATGCCAGTAGAATTGGGAGCTCTCTGTGCTGGAGTCTGTGGAATCAGCTGCCTAACAGGCTTACCGAGACAGGTATGCAGCGGGAGGTGATCTGTAGGAAGGTGTTGGACTTGCTGTTGGACGGGGTAGGCTCCTACACATTTGTTTATTTTGCTGCAACACCTATGGTGCTACTTGTGGATCTGGTCCTGATGTCGGGTGTTGCTTTGACTTCAGGTAGTAGTGCAGTGGGGTCTGCAGGACATACTGTGGGAAGGAGAAACTTCTAAGACTTCTGTTACTAAAATGAATACTGGTAGCTTTTTCTACACGGGGAGGGTGAGGATGATGCTGGAAATGTAACGTTGAGAGATTGCTTTACCTGTGGTCTGCTAGTGGAGTCTTGCTCAGGTACTGAGAGCAAAAGTGCTATGCAATTCCTCCTCCTCATAAATGCCAAGTACAAAGTGCACTGATGTTCTGTACGAAGAGTAAAGTAGGACTTTGTATGCCCAAGCGAGATGCTTGTTTTGGGTGCTCTGTAGTGTCCCGAAAGTTTACATCTCAAGGAGGAGCTCACATAAAGAAATCCTGTTGTTAAACTAGTTTCTTTCTTGAGCTTCTTGCTGGTTACATTCTGTGATTGTGTGGGCTGTCTTTTCAGAAAGGCACTGTGTGTCTTTCCTGGGGCCCAGGTGGTGGCATACAGTGTCCTGCACGCTTTCCATCTTGCTTTGGCATCTTTAACTTCCCAAAGAGTTGGAAAAGCTGAACCAGGGTGGTGAAGCCTGTGGTACCTTTGGCTGCTTGGTGGTTTCTACTATCGCAGTGAGCAGAACTGCCTTTGTGAGCCGAGGCAGTGCTGTGATGGTCCTGTGCAGGGGCACAGCACAAAGAGAAAGCCTTGCCCCGGGCTGGGCCTTGCTGAGGGTAGCAGACAGCACTGGAATGGTGGCCGTGGGCGTAGGAGGAAACCATGCGGTCGGGGTGGTGGTGATCTGGTTGCACCAACAGCAACCAACTTCTTTTGGGAGATATTTTAGGAAAAGAGATGCTGTTTAGTCTAGTTTGGGCTGCTTTTTCACAGGACTGGATTAGCAGGATTGTTGCAGTAGGATTGAGGCGTACTGATGGAATTACATAGTTTTGCCAATGACTAGTTAGTTTCTGCTGTGGCCGGAATGTCTCCTCCTCTTGTCTTCATCACCTGACCACACAATAATTAGTTTAAGGCCTGTTGAAATACTAATAAAATGTAATACCCTACCCTCTTCTTTATTTCACACATATAACTAGTACTAGTTCTTAGGAAACCACTGTGTGGTTTCATTTTTTTTTTAAGAATCTTCACAAATCTTGTTTACAGAACAATTCTTGTGTGTTGAGCATTCTGATATGCTTTTTTAATTGTCAAAGAGATAAAAAATCTGCCATAATACTTCCAGTCTCATTTACATTAAGGCTGTAGTGATGGCAAATTGTTACGACGAGACAGCAGGTGGCCTTGCTTATGTGTGTTTGCAGTGGGTGGATGTTTGTACTCTAAGCCATCCATTTGTCACACAGCCATTACTGAATCACCGATGGTCTCATCAGCGGGGAGAAACTAACCTTGCAGCAACCTGTGCTGGATTTACTGTCATAATAGTTTCTAGCTTATTGCACTGCTAGCTCAGCCCCTCTTGAATACCTTATGACTTTACATGCAAACGTATTTGTAATTGGAGAGGGTTTTTTAAGCTTGGTGTAAACATTTTTAACTGAGTGTTAATTCTAACTAATTTTTAGCTGTTTCTTCCTCATTCCCTGAATAGGAGGCACATACAGCAGCAGATTGCAGTGGTTCAGGGGACCTTGGCCACAGTCAGCAACAGAGGCTGCATGAGTTTTGGTATCGCGGGCATGGGACATAGACTGGGCCAAATTTGGTCCTTCTGCCTTACATTTTTCCCAGCACAATGAAAGTCAGAGCATGCTGTGCTTGCAGTTATCTGCATCAGTTGTGTTCTTTACTCCCTTCCTCATGATGTCCTCCAAATGTGTTAAGATACTGGCTGTTGTGGACCCACCACAAATCCATTGATGGTAGAAAGAAGGGTAGGACTTCTATATCCTAGTGAAGTATATGTCACTGTTACTCTTCCAGTGGTGTTTTTGACAATGATGGCGTGGAGGCTCAAGGTGTTGTAGTATTCTGGCTGTGCCACTAGGCAGGGAATACTTGTACACTTTCCTTGGTGTGGGCTGGTTGGCTGCTCTGTACAGGAAGATTTCCAAGGAAGCTGGTCTCCTGCCCCTTATCAGTTGATTCATAACAAGAAAAAAAATATAGCTCTGTTGGAATGGTTGTAATTCCTGTAAATTCAGTATCATGTAAGAGAGTGTGATGATGAACCTCTTTTTACCAACAGAGCTCTGCCACTGAATTAGCCCAGGCATAAGAAATTATTTCTTACCATAGAGCAGGCACTGTCTAGAGGCGGTTATCATGGCCTTGGACGTGGCTGCAGATGGCAATGTAGCTGAGGTCTCTGGCAGCTTGATGTGCTTGGATAAAGGTGTCAGTAAATGCTTTTGAAAGGTCCGTGTAACATGGTGTGGGCTGAAGGAGCTGGGGAGTACAGCAATGCGTCTTCTCCGTTCTCAGCATCTCCGTCTTCAAGGCATAAAACCCAGAAGAGTTGAGCAGAGAGAGGCAGCTCCATGTGTTGTGTAGCCTTCCTGTTGTTAATCTAATATCCTTCTAGGGCTGCATGTGTAAAGCTTCCACCCTTTACCCCTAATCCATTTAGGGAACATGGTGAGGGTTGCTGAACTTCATCAAGCAATGCAGGAAGAGAAACTTGGAGCCACGAGTCTGCACTGAAGGATCTTATTTTCACCTGGCAGAACCTTATGCAAGCATAGAAGAGAAAGCCCTTCAGCAGAGACTCACCACAATCCAAATTTCTCTTTTTGTGTTACGTTCAGGAAAGCTCAGTAGGCCCCACCACACATCATCTCTGAGCAAATGGAAATTGAATTTGGGGCTGGGGGTGGAAGAGGAGGAGAGGGCAAGAGAGGACAAAGTGTGAATGTTCAGTTCTGGTACCTTTTAGATTTCTTTCTTTCCCAAACCTTGGTCCAAATTAGATATAACCTGATGAGTGAGTTGGTGTGGTTCTCTGACCTGCTGCTCAGGTATCTGGAGGCAGACAAAGCATGAGGCTTATATATTATTTTCTTTTTCTATAGGAGGAAGTTATGTTAATCCTACTAAGCTAAGAGCTGTGGGTATTTTTTATGGGACAAATGTCCTCAACAATAAAAAAGAGAGAGAGAGAAGTTTTGCACAGATGTCCTTGTGAAATCAATGGGCTAAATATATAGAAAGAACATGTAGCTGGTCTTCTTGCAGCACAACCCTCCAGTCTCTGTGCTGTTTCAACTGCTGTTGAATCTGCCTGTCCTTTCAATATATTAGGTTTGCTGCTGGTTTGAGAAACAAAAACTAAAGCTTCTATTTTCACAGTTTCTAGGATCAGTCCACAGGGAGGATGTTTTATCCAACAACCTTGTTACTTAATCCCCCCTGTAAGGGGATTGTGACTCTGAGCCTACTGTATGTGCATCTGGTTTTGGCTAGTGACTTTTTCTTCCTGGCCTTTCACAACTGTTACAGTAAGGGTAGTTTAGGATTTACTTTTTCAGGTGCTTAGGGTGAAAGAATGAAAGTAACTGAATGCAACATTTGTCGTCTTTGAGATGTTTTATATATTTTCCTTTCCTTTTTGTTTTTTGTTTTTGTTTTTTAGGTTTGGAAGGCGTTTTGAATCCCCTCTTTTGTGGCAAAGCATTATCATGATCATTACTATGTTACTGATGCTGAAACTGTGCACTGAAGTTCGTGTGTCCAACGACCTAAACATAAAACGCCGCTCTTTTGCAGGTTAGTGACAGGAACTAGTTGTTGCAGAATGAACCTTTTTGAAAGCATATTGCACTTGTTTTGGACAAAAGTTCTGCCTGAATTGCAACCCAGTCTCCTTTCTTGATGAATCAGTGTAGCGCTACTTCAACTTTTTTTTTTTTTTTTTTTTTTTTGAAACCACTTCCTCCCAGATGAATGTTTAACATTTTAACTTTATTTTAAATGGGTCTTGGTTCAGTCTGTAAGTAGGAGTTCTTAATGTTTCACATCATGCCCTAGGACACAGGCTGTCATGCAGTTATGCTAACCTGGATATTTTTTAAGATCTTGTCCTGCATAAGAAATTTTCTTCTATTGTATTCTCTACCATGTTCTTAGGTGGGAGTTAGATCCTGATCATACGCTATTATCTGAGATCTTATTTTGCAGTTGCCAACACTTGCTTTTGCACAGAATTTATTTTCTGCTTAATAAATTATTGGCTATAAAAACAGATGTTGTCATATTTTAGATGCAAAACTGTCTTTTTGTATACTTTTTTTTTTTAGTGTGGGAGTTCTGGGAACTTTCACATATATTTTTATATAGTTGTTTATCTCATTTTTAGGCATTGATACTTCCAGCTGGGACCAGACTATTATCCTTTATGTAATCAAATATTCTTGTTCTGCAGAATGTCTTTGTTTTTCTCCCCTCCCCCAGATAATGACATGAAAGGGATAGTTTTTGTTTTTTATCTAGAATGACTTTGACTTACAACATTTTATATTACAGCTTATTACCAACAAGATCAGAATTAATACTATCAGCTAAAATTTTGGCAGTTGTTTTACCAATATGGATGCATAATTTATTCTCTCCATCTGTTCTCTTCCTTCACTCCCTAAAAATTGAGGGTCTGATTTAGTTCCACATATTCATGGCCTTCAAGGCAGTGGATACTGACTGTGCGGTAGGGTAATGTATCTAATACTTGAGGAAACTACTTCTATCCCTGCTTACTATGGAGTGTAGTGTGAAACTGTTCAGTTAAGTAAATTCATGTGGAAGGGGGACTGCACTGCACCTCCTGAACAAAAGTTGCCGTGTCCTCTACTATTGTTAGTCTGGCAGGATGAATGTTTTAAAAACTTAGTTTCATCCATATTTAGCAGCAGTTAAATCCGGGGAGTATTTAGGAGGGATGTGTATGCTTTCTGCCTCTCAATGCTTGCGTTTCATGAACTGGCAGAAAGGTTTCTCTGTTTGCACTTTATGAGGTGAAATTATCCTTGTGCACGTTTATGCACGCTCTTGCAGGCTTCCTCAGTAACCTTTGGACAAAAAGGGAGGCTATTCAGTTTAGCATATAGCCTTCTTTAAACATCCCTTCCTGAAAGACATACAGTTTTTTATACCAGGTAGTGGAAACTCCTCAAGGTTGTGTTGTGTCATTTGATCCTTTTTCCTGAAACTCAGCTTGTTACTTGTTTTAGTAGCTAGAGAGACTGATTTTTACTTGTGGACATTAATTGTTTCTTTTTGTTGGAATGCTTGCATCTTCCCACAGACTTTGAGACCAGTTAAAATCCTTTTCTTATGTGTGATAATTTTTCATCTCTTACTTAAAAATCAATCTCAAATGTCATCAGACTGGACAGAACAGACACACTGAGGACATTGACCCTCTGCGAGCTCTACTGGGATGTCTCAGAACATTTAATTTCATACTAAACTCCTTTCAAGTGAGGCAGAAGAGGGTTTATATTTCAAGCATGTCGAGTGAGATTTGCATTTCTAATCCTACTTCTAATCTTATCTTAAGTTTTATGGTGATTCAGACAAACTGATAAATCTGTGTACTTACTTTCTTTCCTCATAGTTCACCAGGTTAGTGGGAAGCTAGGTTTGAAGTCAGTGTTTTTCATGAACCTTTCAGAATCCTGAGTGGAAAGTGCAAGATTTCTGTATGATAGTGTCATTTATAATCCCTCAGATGGCTGGTCTTCGATTTAAATCTTTTTCTTTAATTTCTATCCTCCCTCTGAATGTTTCTACAAAACAATCCAAAATATTTAGAAAGTGAAGTTGTTCTTACTGCTTTCTTGTATTACTAGTAAATGCTGTGGTTCCTCCCTTGTCACATTAGTATATATTTTTATCGGTATATCTTGAACTATGTCGGAGTTACCTTTTCACACAGAATCACAGAATTTCTAGGTTGGAAGAGACCTCAAGATCATCGAGTCCAACCTCTGACCTAACGCTAACAGTCCCCACTAAACCATATCCCTAAGCTCTACATCTAAACGTCTTTTAAAGACTTCCAGGGATGGTGACTCCACCACTTCCCTGGGCAGCCTGTTCCAGTGTCTAACAACCCTTTTGGTTTTCCTTTTTTTCCTTTTTTTTTTTTTTTATTTTCATTATTCTCAAAGTAAGGTCACTTAATAATAGTCTTGCAAAGAGAAAGCAAGTTGAAAGTGCCAGAGCCCATCTTGTGCTGGTGCTGTCTTCTCTGTCTTTTGTTCTGGATACATAAATTTAGCCTTAAAATGCAGGTACTGCTTGAAAAGAGAATAAGCCCTCTTTATATGTCCAATTGTTGTATTTTTTTTTTACACTTGACTGTATAGCCAGTTTTTAACTGAACTATTCTGTATTGAAAGAAAAAAAAAAACAAAACATCAAGAGAACAACAAAAACTTTATTTTAAACCCTCTAATGATAGGCCAGTTTTCTCTTGGCATGTGACTACCTATGAAAGGTAGTGTTTATGTGAAGAAGTCCTCAGATGAAGTCAACAGGCATGAATAATAGCTTACCATCTTTTATACTTTATTTAACACCATTTTAATTCAATCTTGAATGTTTTACATGTAGATATCCAGGCACCATTGTTGTGGTAACAGCTCTCCTTATTCATTGCTGGTATTTAAATTGGTGTCTGTCCAGCTGTATTTATGCTGTCTTGTTGACTCAGTACAGAAAGGCTCAAGGTTCAGTGCTGCTTTATTTTGTTAAAGGTGGTTTTGTTCAAAATGCTGTATTATTTCTGGGTCATAATGATGCTACCATGCTAGAGAGCTAGATACAGAAGAACAAAATCCACATGCCTGACTCATTTCTTGACTCCAGAATCAAGGCCTTTTCAGGAGGCTGAAGCAAGTTGCTCACAAATACAGACTGCTAAAAGCATCTAGTCACTCTTGGAAACGTTGACAGGCCAGGACAGAGTCTTCATATGCTTGGAGTGGCACTCTACTAAGGGTCTTCCTTTTCTTCCCCAAAATAAGCCTTCACTCTCTTCTCAACAAAGATTCAGTTGCAGTTATGCCTAAGGCATTGTGCCAGATGTCAAGCACCCTGAGTACATGAACTATGCTGAAAGCCAGCGGGCAACTTTTGTTAAAAACAGGTTCTTAGACATCTCTTCTTCTTACAGTACAGTGAAGGCTCCTTACATGGTTATCTGGTGTTACGCAAAGATGATTATGTCTGGTCATTTGTCCAGTTTTATCTTCCTTCCAGCTACTTATTTTCTTAAACTGCTTTATAACTTGTATCTTATTATAGCATCTTGATCTCTTGAAGAGCTCTGATTTTGTCACTGGAAAACACTCTTGTACAATATGTGGTTTTCAACTGGCAGGAAAAGGAGAGTTAAAAATTTTAGGATGCAGAATGATTGCAGATGGGGTCTACTTTGTCCTTGTTGATAAGATTAGCTTGAGCTGAGGCTTTTTGAAACTATTTTAGAGCAGTATTTTTCCAGGAGGTAATGCACCTGTATTGTCTTAACAGATTATACATGTGTGTGTACATATTCAATGTTGCTGGGCTAACAACTTGTTTTCTGTGATCATGAGAAACATATGAAGTGAGAGTTTAGCTTTCTCTTCCAATGTTTTTAAGTCTTCATTTTCTCCCCCTGAGTAAATTGCTGTTGGGGATGTTCACTGAGGCTGTTCTGAGCCTTCCTGCTGCTTGACCCTATCTTAATGTCACTGGGTGGAAGCATTACAGAAAGCATGGAGACTAAAATTTGTCATATTTTTTTTTTGGCTTGTATGTTTTATAAGCAAAATATACTAACTGACTAAACTTGAACTAAAAGACCCACTGTTTCATTTAATCATACAAGTCTATTTTGTCTTTCCTTCCTTTTTTTCTCCCCCTCAACTTTTTTTATGTAGCTGCAGATAGTAAGGATGAAGAAATTAAAGCACCTCCCAAGAGATCCTATCTGGGTATGTACTGTCCAAACTCACTCTGCATGAAGTTGCCTTTTCAACTACCTATTTCATGCTTTGCCACTTTTTGTAACCATTTTTAGAAACAATTGCATGATCACTACTATATTAAATGTTTGCATTAAGTTTGTGTGACATACTAAAGTCTGGTGCATGGTTTCGTTTTAATTTTCCCTTCCTCACTTTTAACCTACATAGTGGAAAACGTGCTTACAGTTCTACTTCAGAAATCAGTTTTTGAAGGCAGTTGAATTCATTGCATTGTGTGTTTCACATCTTTCTCTTTTTCCTTCCCCAAGGTAGAAAAGCAAAATACTGTGTGATACAGGGATCCATATCGTCATAGTCATATTCCTCCTCTTCTAGCCCTGCCTCTGGAGGAAACAATGGAAAATACAGGAGTATCTTTCAGCATTGTTCAGAATGCTAGATAAGAATTTTCCCACAACATCCGATGTTCAGCAAAATGCCTGCATCTTTGTGATTTTTTTTTTTCCCCTGGCTTGTTCCTCTCTTTATTAGAGTAGCCTCAAAATTGTTTCTTGGTAATTAGTAACACTCTAAATTGGGAGCTTCCAACTGTAATCACTTTCAGAATTGGAATCTATGTTCTTTTAATTTGCCTAAGAGGAAGAGGAAGTATTAGGTGCAAACAAGCTTTGTAGTGTTTTCAGCTCTCAGTAGCTAGGGAGACAGTTTTTGTGAAGTTTTTTTTTTTTTTTTTTTAACTAGTTGGGGGTATCATGTTAAGGTAATTATACCAGCCGCAGACACAAAAGTTGTCCAAAGTCAACTTTTATATTGGTTTAAAATGAATTGATGAAGAATCTCACATTGATACTAGTTATTTTCTATTGCAATTCTCAAGCTAATAAGGGATCAATTAAAGACATACAGGGTAAAGAAAAGTATTCCTGGTGCAAAAAAGTCTATACTATATTTATCAACAGTTAATTAAACTGGAGCAAGCTTTGAGAAACACAAAGAGAAGCATTAACCTGAGTACTGTCTTGAAACCATAAAACCAAACCTGTAAGGGTTAAATAGATTATACCATTAATCTTCTGGATCTTTCCTTTCAGATTTAGGGACAAAAACGCATCTTAAATTGGTTTGATGGCAGTATTTTGCAAAGTACCTTTTTGTTGTGTGCTTTCAAAACATTTTTTCTGGACTTTGTATGAAACTGTTTTATTTTGCTGTTTGTTTTCTACTTTGTAGTGGTTTTCACTGGCTTGCAACACTAACCAATGGAAAGTAAACTTTAAACAATTCTATCCTTTTTGCGCCTATCTTCCTGTTGTCTTTTACTGGTACTCAGAAATGTTTTATTTACAGTGGCAGAGCTAGAATCAGCTGCCTCTGCTCATAGATATGACTGAGTGTGTTATTTCAAAATGCTTCATGTGGTTAAAATTAAACAGAAAAAAAGTAACTTAATGTGACCTTTTATTCATTTCTGATTTTTTTTTTTTGTTAAAAATTATTGCTTTGTGGTTCAAGTGCTTAAAAAGGTTGACATTTGTAAGGAAAAAAAACGTTTAATCTTAGTCTAACTGATTTAAATCTGAAACAATTGGTTAATAAATGGTGACTGAAGGTCATTTTGGAGCTGCTTAGCAAAATAATGAGATGAATTGCATTATCACTAAGGAAAAAGGGTAGTCTCATGCTCAGAGATTTAGTGATAGGTTGGCACGTCTGTTCTCTGTTCAAATGGCGTAATTCTTACTGGTGCAAACAAAGTAAGAGATGTTTTGAGGTATTTGTGTGTAGTGCACATGCAGAAGTATGCCCAAGTGGGCATACAAGTGGGCTATACAGTGCTTTACATCACAGCATAAGTCATACTTTGACTGGCAGGGGGTTATTAAACTGAGTGAGCTATGTCCTCAGGTGCTCTGTTTGCTACAGCTCTGGAAAGCTCACTTAGAGAGTAGTTAAGGGGAATATTTGCTGTATTTTCCGGTGGTATGAGGACATTCTCACAATGTCTTCTAATGAGTTCTAACGAAAATTTTGTTCAAGGAGAGATTGGCTTCTTCCTTTTCCCTGTTTATTTTGGTTTTCTGAAAATATTCTTCAATGTGCTTTCAGACTCCGGAGATCATTGTATTACTTTCTTTTTCTTTTTATGTAGTAAACATTCAGCCTATTCTTTTTGTAGATGAAGATTGGCTATCCACAAAAACTATTAGTGTAGATGTTGAAGCATTAATCCGAGAATGTACTGTGAAAGTTAAGGACATGATTAATTTATTTTTTCTTGATGTGCTTTAGAACAAATCATAGAATCATTGAATGATTTGAGATGGAAGGTCCTCTAAAGGTCACCTAGTTTGTGGATAAATGTCTTAATCTGTTTCACCGAATTGCAGTAAAATAAGAATTAGAGGCTGTTGTCACAGAAGTAGGAAAACACTAAGCAAGACATTGCTCCAAAGATGTATTGTGTGAAACTGTTTCAAAGGGTCTCATTGACATGACAAATGAATCCCAAAGTGAATGTGATTTGTTTGATTTTCCAAGTAAATATTTAAACGCTTTGAAGGACGCTTCCAGTAGATGACAAGAGTTTTCCTCTCTTATGTGAAGCTGGGTTTAAAACTTTCCATGCTACTGAACCCTGAACCTTGCTTTTTGCCCAAACAGAAAGTTATCCAAGTAAGGAGTTTTAAAGCAACAGTAATAACTAAAATGCAGATGATCTCCCTGTTGCATTAATATTTAAAATGACTTATTTTCTTTGGGTGAAAAATGTAAAATGTCTGTGCAGGTAAGTTCAGAGTTAGAACCTGCATAGTAATGAAGACAAAAGAGCGACGTGAATGAAGTAGGCACATCTGCTACTCTGTGCTGTTTCCACTTTGTCCTGGTTTTGTCTGGGATAAAGCTCATTTTGTTCCCAGTAGCTGGTATGGTGCTGTGTTTTGGGTTTAGGATGAGAATAATGCTGATGTTTTCAGTTGCTGACAGGGAGCAGTGCTTACACTAAGCCAGGGACTTTTCAGCTTCTAATACTGCCCTGCCAGCGAGGAGGATGGGGGTGGGTGCACCAGGAGCTGGGAGGGGACACAGCCAGGAACGCTGACCCACGTTGGCCAAAGGGATATTCCATAATACCCGATGTCATGCTGAAAAATAAAACTGGGGGGGTTGGCAAGGGAGCAGGTTGGCTGCTGTTCTGGGACTGGGTGGACATCAATGAGTGGGTGGTGAGCAATTGCACGGAATGTCAATTGCTTTGTGTATTATTTTATCATAATTATAGTAATAATATTTTCCTCTTCCATTTCCTTTTAAACTGTCTTTATCTCAACCCATGAGTTTTACCGTTTTTCCATTCTCTCCCCCATCCCACGGGGACGGGAGCGACTGGCTGTGTGGTGCTGAGCTGCCTGCTGAGTTAAACCACTGCACAGTCATCGTGGCAGCCCTGTGAGTAACTTGCATGTTCACCTCTTTTGTCCCTTCACTTCACTCAGGGGATCAGCTGGCTCATGATAAATTGGGAGTTGGCACACTCTGGGACGCAGCTGACACATCGCGTGCGCTGTGACGGCTGTAAACTTTTTTCAGTCAGCTCTCTGGCTCCCTCAGGTCATAGTACTCAATTTGTCTAGGTCGAACAGGAGCGTCCAGCTAGCAGACAAGCAGATGTGCAATGCGGTTGTCTGCGGGTGCTTACAGCGTGCTGCTCCATCCAGGCCTCACTAGCCTGAGCAGAGTCACAGACACAGTTTCTCTTTGCCAGTTATGTGGGCATCGCTTTGGTTTCATTGAAGGTTTGTCTTTCACACCATAGTTTCTAGTTACTGAATTCCCAAATGACTGTTGGGTAGTTAAATACGTAATAAAAGCACAGTTGTTGCTGGTACACAGCTGTCACAGCCTCTGTCCCTGCATAACTGCAAGTAGACATAAGGGGAGTTAAATACCTTCTTGCCAGGAGTACACACTCCCTTGTTAGACTCTTTTTATAGTGCTTTTTTTGGCCTTTTAGGAAGGGAGCCTAGGAGAGGGGTTTGTAACAGCGTCTCTGTGTGAAACTAGGATGTTTGCCTGATGGAATGACATCCAGCTGCATCCGCAGTTTGGTTGTGGTTCTGCATGCGGTGGGGGCAGTTACTCCCCCCTTATTTCTCTGCAGTAGTATTTAATCCTTTTCATAAGACATTGAAAATAAAATCAGAAATGGAGAGTCGAAGGATAAAGTGGCAATTTGTTATAAAAAAAACTTACGTTGGTAGCTGTAGAATCTTATTTAAAATATATAGAAGAAAAGCTCATAGCAACATCGAGCCACATGAGGGTGCTCTCGGGTTTCCCAGTCTTCAGCAGAGCCACTCACCTGGAGCCTGTGAGGGACTGATCCTGCTTTCAGGCCTGTTGTGCTACCTGTAGAAATAGTGAATAAACAGATTTTGAAGCCTTCTCTTCTGGAGGCTGAAAAGATCAGTTCTTAGTTTCTTCATGTATGCCATGTACCTCAGCTCCTTAGTCATCTTGGTGACCCACTCCTGGGCTCATTTCAGTACAGCAATGTCTTTCTTGTACCTGGTGGCACAAAACTGAACACAGTATTCCCAATAGGGTCTCCAGGGTGTTGAACAGAGAGGAATAAACACTTCTCTCCACCTGCTGGCTGTACACTTACTCAACTGTATAGTTCAGTATGCAATTGGCTGCCTTTGCCCCAAGGGCTGACTCACGTTCAGTTTGCCAGGCTCCCCTCCACTTTTCCACAAGCCTCCTCTCTAGTAAGGCAGTCCCCTATAGCCCTACTGTGGCATGTTGTTATTGCTCCCCGGGTGTGCAACTGCACTGAACTTCATGGTATTCCTGTCAGCTTGTATCTCTGTCCCTTTGAATAGCACCCCATAACTTGGTGTTGTTCATGAACTTCTTATCCAGGTTAGTAATAAAATGTTAGGGAGTATTGGCCCTGATATTGATTGCTTAGTAGGCTGCCTTGTAACTGACCATCAATTGTATGT